TTAGAAGTGAGCCATCACTTCCTCCGTATCACATTTCCTCCTCCCCAGAGATTAGTTTCAGGTCTTTGACAGAACGATCGGCTCCGGCCAGTGAAACTCCATATCTGAGTAGCAGTGAAAGCGTGAGAATGGAAAGGAGCAGTTTGAAGGGACGTGAATGTGATATCTGACTTATCCAAAATCCCACTCTTTGGCCGAGGCCGCTTCCCTGAAAAATGCAGCATGTGGGCCATCTGTTTTAGTGGTTTGGAGTGGTGACTAATGAAATATCTCTGGCTGCCCAGTAGTGAACCTCCATGATTGGACCTTCAGTCGACTTTTTTCCCTCTAAAACAAATTTCGGTGCAGAAAGTTTTACAGGCTGAGGCTGATTCACCGTATTTATGTTGTATCACATATTTTAATTTGCTCTGAATAACAGATCAGTGTGATTAGAATGAAGAAGATGTGTCCTAAAAGCTTGGACAAATGAGTCACTTTTTGGACGTCCCTACTGTTTGGATAGTCATTAGGTTTATGGTGCTTAACCTGATTAATATGCAGTGAAATGTAATTTTAATTGTGCACAGTAAATCAGGGGTCAACAGACCATTTTGCATGGTCGGTATTTATTTAAGATTTAAAAGTGTTATTTGTCACATGCCAATTTAATGCAGTACAGTGCAATAGTTTTGGACACTTGTCATCTTGTCATCCAGTCCAGATGTTTGGGTTCATCTCCATCATGCAGTACCGCCAGGGAGGCGTCTGATTGGTCCCAAATTAATTCTGCAGAATGAGAACAAGCCCAAACACACAACCAGAGAAATATGTCCACCTCCACAGAGACCTGGTTTCAGCATCATGGAGTCAGTCTGAGATCACATGAAGAGGCAGAGGAACTGTGGCAGGTTCTGCAAGATGCTCAGAACAACCTACCTGCCAAGTACCTGAAAAACTGTGTGCAGGTGTACTGAGGAGAACTGGTGCTGGTGGAAAGACAAAGAGGTCACAGCAAATACTCGTCTGATTTACTTTATATGAAGTTAACTGACAAATAAAAACTACTCATGGCATACTCTTGAGGGTGTGTTAAAATAAAGACAATAAAGAATAATAATTATATTAAAGTTTAAAACTAATTAAAAACACAAATACAAAAGATAAGAAAAACTAGCTGAATATAAATATTATTATAAAGATTAAAAAGTGTTGTGTAGGTCGGCTGTGCTATTTTTCAGTGTCTAAAAATTTAAATATATATATGATGCACTTGTAAGACATGTAAAGGTAGCCCATTACATATATCTATCTAATATAAATATCTATTTATTTAATTACTTGTTTTTTTTACCGTTTTAAATTTGTTTAATTTCTGGGTGAGGGCTACTTCTGTTTTGTTTTTGGGTTTTTTTGCCACTGTATATATTTTATATTTTTCTTTTCCTGAAACATCACCACAAGTAGAAACAAACAAAATCTCTAACACCCACTATTTCTTTTCACACTTTTCAAAGCAAAGTGAGACTCAGAATGAGCAGATTCTGATTCTCATAAACATTTCTGATCGTTCAGAACTGGTATTTGCAGCCACAGTAAATAGTAGTTCGGCCTGTGTGAGGAGTCGTGCAGCTCAGAGGCAGATGTGTGCAGATGTTTGGAGGTCTGGGTCATGAGAAGGTGTCGTACGGCCGATGCCCCTCCTAACACACTGATGCTGCAGCCTGCAGCAGTCTGTGGTCAGCCGCTGCTCTCCGGCGTCTCGGATCAGCCGACAGCTGCTGCAGTCCTCCGGCAACAAGCGACCGTAACGAGTCGCTGTATACACCCGGATCCCCGTCTGCTTCATCTGTTTTGGGTCGGAACTCAGAGAGGGCGGCTGCTCTCCTCTTCCTCCGGGCAGGCTGAGGACTTTTGGTGAATCGGTTCCGGTACTCTCGTGCTGTCCGGTGGCAAAGTCGCGCGCTGGTGACTCCAGGACGATGAGACTTGAAACTCTCCTGAAGCTTCTTCCCTGCGTTGTGTTTTTACTCCCTAACGCAATGCTCGCTCAGACAGGTAAGATCACTCCTCACTAACTCTGTTTGACTGTTTAAATGCGTCACAGTTGTTGTCTGCGCACTGTTTTCACAAGTTTAACCATAAATTGTTCTCTGGTGATGATGATGATGATGATGAAGATGAGGAAAACTCACCATTTACAAACAAAAATGGGATGAAAGTTCAGATTTAATTCCGACAGGCCTTTATCAAAGAGCCCCATGACTCCTCAGGTGGTTTTTGTCCCTCTGCCAAAAAGAAGCTGACCCCTCTTCATCCATCATGTGGCGTCTCATGGTCACAGTGTAATATATTGAGCTGTCACTGGAAAGCAAAGACGAAGCAGTTCACTCTCCTTTCGCCCACATGGGCCTTTGCCTCATGACGGGACGAGGACTCCACGAGTCCGTGTTCAGGTGATGAGGACTGAAGTGACCAGGTGCTGAAGGATGAATGAATGAAGGATGTCTGGTTCGGCTCTGACAGCTACTGTCGTCTCCTTCAGCGGCTCGTCAGCCCGTCACCGCTGTGGCAGACTGTCAGGGTATCACCTTTCACTTGACCTCAGAGGTCAGGGTCAGAAACCCTGGCTGCAGTGGAGCAGAGGCTGGTACTTCTTTCTCACAGCGTGGCGCTGTTTCTTTCTCTCTGGTCATGTGGTCATATTTCAACTTCTGTGGTCAAACGCCATAAGATTCAAGTCTCTCCCCGTCGTTTAACCTCCTTTAAAGTAAAATCCCTCCCTAATTTCCCGCTCCAAGTCATAAATGGTGCCACAATAATCCAGTCCTTAGCTGACTCATTGAGCCCATGTTACATTAGAAAATGTTCAAATGGTTAAAAGATGCAGATGCATGTGAAGTTTTTGGATGACAAAGTTTTTTGTGCATTGAGCTATTGAGGTTAATTAATGGAGCAAATACCTGAGGTGTCAGGAGGTTCAGTAACAATGATGATGCCATGAAATACTGTTTGACAAGCTACAGCTAAATTAACAATTGTCATCATTAAATAAAATTACAAATTAGGTTTGTGTGTACAAGTGTTAAAATACAGTTAAATTGGTTTTAATTAGCTATAACTGCTCAGCCTGGGTTTTGTGTTTCATGAGGCTGGGACTTCTTCTGGTGTCGATTCAAAACATTTCGGCTTCTTGCTCCCAGAGCAGCAGCTTGTATCTCACCCTGCTAGCTATCGTAGCTCGCCAGCCATATAGATGGCAATTTTTAATCCCACCTGCTGACCTCTGATTGGTCAGGTTATTCCATCAAATGGTGGAAATAATCATCAGTGAGAACAATACCAGACTTTTTTTGAATGGATAAAGAAATCTGAGATGTTTGTGATGCGTCAGAGGTCCAGAACCAGGCTAGTTGAAAGGGCCCATGTAGCTCTTTTCGTCACCCTTGGTTAAATGTTTTGCAAACATGTTTTTATATTATTGGCTTTTCTAATCATCTCAGAGCGCTCAAACTGTGTGTTTAAGACTCCCTCTTTAACCTTTAACCTGCTGACCTTTCCTTTCTCTGGACCAGCTCTCCGACTTCCTTCCACTAAGCAAAGTTTTGATTTACTTATGGTATGATCCAAATAAACAGTTGCCCTAAAGCTTGAAATCCACGGTTTTTCTAATGCGCTCATATTAAGCAAAAAGAATGATGTTTCAAACAGTGATACCACAAGCTGATACATGATACAGCTCCTGTGAAACCAAATCTGAAAATGGACCATAAGGACATCAACAGTCACTTCCTGCTCGGGAAATCCATTAATAATAATAATAATGCTGTTAGGTTTGTCTGCAGCTCAGGTCTTCATCATTGTTAGAGAGGTTGTTCTCCTTGTGCTGGTGTCTGAAGGACAGTCTGTCATCATGGTAGTTTATTTAATAAAGACTAGAGGTGAAACATTAGTTGTAGCTCAAACCTGTAATGGGAAAATGGGTGAGAAGGTAATTTACCTTCATAATAGTAAATCTAGTCGTCATCTTGCTCAATGTTCCCAGTAGATCTGTATTAGGTTCAGGGTAAGTCTCCTCTCTGTTTCAGATTTCATGAGACAGCGACGTCTTCTGGTCGGCCAGATGGACTTTAGTTTCATCACACTTCTTTCACTTGTTGACTTCACCGTCACCAGTGTGGACGGACAATCGGACCTTAGGCACAGGCCCCCACATCCTACTTTGGCTCAGGACATTTGACAGTTATTGTCAACAAAGGCTTTGTCCTCGTGGCACCTGGGCCTATCCCTGAGAGGCCTGTTACTTAATCTATCCATGGTCATCAGCCTGTATCTTCATTTTAATTACATGGACAAAAAAAGAAACACAAACAACTGATCAAAGTAAATATTAGGACGTCCTGTCTCTAAGACGAGCTGCAGCAGTGAGCAGATGCGAGCCTTCTTTGAACAGTGTTTAAAGCTTTTAAAGAACTCAAGTTGTTTATATATGTAGATGTATAATCCTGCAGTTTAGTTCAGGACATAATCAGTCTAAATAATGCAAGTGTGCTCACCTGAATGAGCTGTTTCTGTTTCCCGACACTTTCACCTGCTGCTGCAGATGCTTTTAAAGCAAAAGCAGGTGCTACATAAAGTGGGTATTCATTAGACAGTCTGTGTACATTCGCTGTTCCTGACATGAGTTACACTTTTTTCCTACCATGTCTTGCTGTTTTTTGTCATGTTTTCCAAAACCATATTTTTCTCTGTTGTACACTGTTATTCTCTGCTACAAGTCAAGTTTTGCAAAATTGTTTCTCCTATGACTGAATCATTCAGTAAATGTATTCATATCCTAAATGATAACGTCATGCTTTGTCCCTCATGCTGCACCGGGCAGCTCTGCACCTTTTTTATCAGCTTGGAAACTCAATTGGAAATGTTTATCTTGACTATAAACCAGCTGGACAATGAGCGTCCACAATCCACCGTTTGGCTCGCAGAAAGCTTTCCATATATTTGATCATTGGTATTGACAGTCTTGGTGAACATCCAGTGCTTATGTTGTCTCTGGCTGGCTGTACTTGCAGCGCTCCCTCCTGAATGTGCACCAGGCGGCCACTCCGTCCTCCAGAACCCCTACCGCAGCACCACCTTCAGCTCCAGCTGGCTGCAGCAGTCGGCCCTGCAGGACTTCATCTGCGACCATTCCCTCACTCCGGGCTGGTACCAGTTTCAGATTTTTGACAAGCCAGCCAGCATGCCCACTCAGTGTGTGGAGGTAAATCACCTTTTCTGTAGAACACCTTGCAAAGACACAGACACAGACTGGAGGAACAATATTCTGTGATATATTTCACTATGAATTACCTTTTCCATTCATATTTTTTTATTATCGACTAATCTACAGATTATTTTTCTTGATTAATCGATTAGTTGTTTGGTTTAAAAAATGTCTGAGAAATGTTCCCATACTGACATGAAATGGTCAAACTTGAATTCACAGTTCGAGTGTTGGTACAGCTTTTAAAGCCAGAGTCTGGAATTTAACATCACTCAACGATGGCTGAACAAGTAATCAAAGTATTATCGAAATCGTGTTATTGCCAAGTGCAATATCCAAATTGCAGCTGCAAGTTAAATTTGAAACATAAAACATCCCAAATCATATGCTCCAGATGAAAGGGAACGTTCTTTTTTGGTACGAGACCCAACAAAATCATCATCATCATCAATTTTACATGTTTTTCAGTGAAAATAAAACGGAAAAATGACCATTCCAACTGAAACTGTGACTCATATCGCACATATCTGCCAAAATACTCGCAATATGATTTTCTTTTGCATATCGTTCAACCCTACACTCAAGTCTTACTGCAGTTAGCTCAGTGTTTCTTCACTATTTGACCTGAATTGAAAATTAAAATTCTCTTGACCCCCGAAATTAGAGTTTTCATTTTATCACGTCATTAACTTTTTAGCAGCATGTGGTGAGGTCAAGAGGTGTTATATAGACGTGCTGATATATGTTTCTTTTAATTACAAACATCAACACGTCAGGCGGTGAAATCTCCGGAGAGCCCGAGCGTGACCTCGTGTGGAGAAGCTCTGACGTCACCCGGGTGTGATCATCTGTGTGTCAAACAATAACGTGTGTGTTTGATTGTGCAAGCATGGACACACACAGTTATCGGTGTGTGTGTGTGTGTGTGTGTGTGTGTGTGTGTGTGTGTGAGTGTGTACGTATTTATGAAGGAGAGTGCAAGGAGAGCTGGAATGTGTCTCATTTCCTGCGGGCGGCCCGCTGTGAGGAGCCTGCAGGATCCATCTGAAGTGTCAGCCTCTCTCTGCCTTCCCAGGGCATCGCTGCTCTCCACCCCGGGTGATGGATATCCAGAGGAGTGGGGCGGAGGAAGGAAGAGAGGAAGATCGCTGTGAACATGTGTTACATAATAAGGCAATGTCTTTATGATGATGGCGGATAAATGGCCAGATTTGTCAGGCCAAGGAGATTTTCAAAGGGAGATTAACTGACAAACTGTAACTTTGTCAAATACAAATCCAGATTTTTAGTTGTTTTTTTTTTTTAAAGTCAAAGTCCGTTCGTGGAAGTTGTGGTTCATGAGCGTCTTAGATAGTCAAAATATGAGCACTTTCATCAGACTGAATGCTCTCCCCTCTGTCTCTCTCTGAACATCCAGGTGAACCACTGTGGGACCCAGGCCCCTGTGTGGCTCTCTCTGGGTGACGGTGAGACCTTGCCTGGGCCGCTGGAGGTCAGGCAGTTGACGGCCTGCGCTGCGTGGCAGTTATACCCGAGCAGCAGCAAAGACTGCTGCTTGTTCCGCATCCCGGTCACCGTGCGTAACTGTGGAGACTTCTATGTTTACCTGCTGCAGCCCACACAGGGATGCATGGGATACTGCGCTCAGGGTACGTCTGTGCAGAGGATCGGCTCTGACCTGCTCCTTATATATTATACAAACACTGAAAGATGAGTCAACCAGTTAAAGTTTAGATGTGTTTGTATTTGTAAAAGCTTTAACTAAACATGTCATTAAAGACTTGCTAGTTTGTAGCTATGACCTGCAGCTGGTACTGTTTATCCGTCACTGTCACTGTGTGCCAGTGTGAGACAGAGCTATATAATCTCTCTGAGTGTGAGTTTGAGAGGTTGAAGTCTCCCAGTTGGACTGGCAGTTTCTCCAAGTGCAAATCTCATGTGTATAAATTCATTCTTAACATTTTGCCTGGTTCCTCTCAGAGGATCAGGCTGCTTGTTTCCCACTATATTTCCCACTATAGACAATAATATCTCTAATATTGCTGTAAGCCTTCATTATGTGGTGTGATGCTTTGAATGCTCACAATTCTTGAACTACTATTTATCACAACAGGTCATCATCAGCAATTCTTACAAGTCCATAACCTTTTACATAAGGACTTAAAGTCTATTAAATGAGACTTTTTGAAACTGGAGACAGGGTTTACATCCTGAGTCCTGTGTGTGGTTAGATTAAGGCGACAAAACCACTTTGGTTAAGGTTTGAGGTTTTGGTCAAATCTTACAAAGTGAACAGATCGTGTTTACAATACAACAACCTTTCTCTAAACCTGCTGTGAGATCCAAAACATACCCTTAAAATAATGTTACTCAGGCTTAAGTTGCCTTGAGCCGGTGCTGATTTTCAAGAACAGATGTTGGATGGAAGAAAAAATTGAATATGTTGCTTTGAAACATTTTGTAAATGCATTCAGTATAAAAAAGATTACATTGGAGTTATGAGTGTGGGGCTTTCCATTGCTTTCTAGGATACAACATCTAAGCATTTATTCTGGCAGCAGAGCCAACTCAAAATGTTGAGAGACACATTAAAGGTGAACACAAAACTGCAGCCTTATCAGAAGAATTGCACACTCACTTAAACTAAACTGTTCCCCAGATAAGATCTTTGAAACAAAGTACATGTTGGCACCAAACTCACAGTCTCCTCTCTGCCATGAATACTCTTGTATGTTAATTAATCTTGATTTACAGTTGACTGTTATTACTGCTCTGTTCGCCCTATCAGAGATGTCCGACACTTTACCCACAACGCCCTGCGGCCCTGACGAGGTGAACGTCGATGGAACATGTAAAAGTGAGGATCCTGCTGCCGTGTTTATGGCCTACGCTTGTCTCCTCATGTTAGGTCAAACAGCAAAACAATCAGGAGGTCAGGGAGTTGCCATGCGGTCAGGAATGCACCACCGGCCCCCTCACCGCTCCTCTTAATGAGCTGAGCATGTGCTCCGGCGTCCGCTGGGCCTTGTCTCCATGGTGACGGCCCTCGGCCAGGACGTGAATTATGCCAAGGCAGGTTTTAGGAAGCTGGCAGAGGTGGAAAGAAGGAGGAGGGAAGGTTTAATTAGAGATAGATGAAAGATCCCTGAATGCGTTCATTAACTTGTTTTAAATAATGGAATCCAGGTTGCTGTGATTCCTGAGCTTGCAAACCTTGCTGAATATTTTCTGGCTTCAGCTGCTCATATAAATGAATTCATATTCCTCAACTTCAGTTACTTTCCTCTGCATAACCATTTGCTGCAATTTATGTTGAAGTAGCAGCGGTGTTACTCTCCCAGAGAGGGAGCTTTTTTTTTGTTACTGAATCTACCTGGAGTTGAAATTAGCACCAGTCTCCAGTCAAATGTTAGTAAATTATGTTTTTATAGTAGTTAATATGATAGAGGCAGTAAACAAAAAAAGTAAGATCCTACTGGACCCACAATAAAAAAAAAAGCTCTCTGAACATAGACTATATGGACAAATATACTGTATATGGACATCAAAACTCATTACGTTAAAATCATTATGAAACTGGTTATCACAAAAAACTAGAAACACCATGTTAACTGCGATACTATTTGTAAACGTATGCCAGTTTTTTCTTGGTAAACAGCTCATATTTAATGATAAATTGTAGATATGCATCTTTACAACCAAGAGCACAGTCGTGCACTGCCTTAACTTTGAATAATGTTAAATTCTAGCATCATTTGTCATTCAGTTATTATTATTTTCCTTGAAATAGAGTTTGAGGATTTTATTTCCAGCCCTGAGTCTTGTTCGCAGTCTTCCTTTCAGGCTGCAGGTACAAACATCCACCCATCAGAGTGTAGATTAGTCTGTAGCCTGAGAGCAAATCACAGGGCAAATTAAGTCAGCAAAACATTTACTACTGCTGTCAAAGATAAATTGCTGTGAATGCAGGAATAACTGAAAGTTTAACAATACTGTTTAGACAATAAATCAAAATGGCAAGATTTCTTTATGGGCATATAGTGTATACTCAAACCACGCATACATAAACATAATCTCAGACCCCACTAATCTACCTACTGTTTCTGCTTCTCCCCTGTCAGACAAGCATCCTCCCGCTCCCTCTGTACCAGTCATTGTCTCCCAGCTGACAGGTAACACCGTCTACCTGAAGTGCAGCTTTGACAGCAGCTCCAGGAGCTCCCTGGGTTACGTGGTTGCCTGGTCTCGTCTCTCACCTGAGGGCAGGAAGGAGGAGCTAAAACAGGAGACCACCATCCAGACCTCCGTCTTCATCGAGCTGGACGGCTTCAACCTCCGTCTGGGGGACAAGGTCTGATGAAAGGCTACAGTGGTTTAAGTTGGTTTCAAGATGAGTTCCCACTTAGTCAAGAACTAAAGAGGGATAAACCCGAAACAAGAGCACGAACAACAACAAATGAAGTCTGTTTTCTCCAATAAAAGACGAGAAAATGGCTAATACGGTTCTTGCAAATATGCAGAGATAGTAGTAGTTTCAACATTTAATTAATTCAGTGACAACATTTTATTTATAGCACATTATCCGGCTGTGGCATTTCTTAACAACGGGCTAAAAGAAACAGTTAGGACTAATTTAGAGTTGAGTTCATTTCGTACAAGCCTGAAACGAATTTAAGCTAGCTCCCGTTGCTAGCTTACTTCAGGCTAAACTAGTTTTAGCATCGGCTAAAAACAACACTGCTATCTTTAGCTTATTCGATGATATGGAAAGCTAGTTAAGGTTCAAGGTTGATTTAACTTAATTTCAGGCAGGTGGGGAGGTTAACTTAGCACTGGCTAACTGTACCGGCTAATAACAGCGTCGCTGTCTGTAGTTAAGTGTCATGTCAGAGCAAAGAATCAAAGCTAACAGTCGGGGCTAACTTAACGTTATTTAAAGCGTATTTTTATGAAATAAGGTTACCCCAGTGTTTAACTGTTTCCTAAATTTTATATATTGATTTTATTAGCAATGATCTAATAATAATATCGCAAACTAAAAATTAACAGTAATGGCTAATTTCCCCTCAGTTGTCTTGGAAATGAACTCAAAGCTAACTGTTTGCTATCTTTAGCTTAGCGTTATTAGCACTGGGCTAATACTGACCCTGGGCTAATGGCAGCTAACAGTCAGGACTAACTTAACCTCATTTCAGGCTTGTATTTATGAAATAATGTTAATGAGGTGGACAGACACATTATGATATTTTAACGTTGTTATATTCGTGGAAGAGAACTATCAAAATTTAACAGTGAAGGTGATTCCGGGATAAATTGGGGTCTGGAAAAAATCTGAACAGATCAGAAAAATTAAAGCCTAATTTCAGTGAATATATCAGTATAGCATTCCTGTGACAATTGACTTTCCATTCTTTTGGAAGTAAGACATACTGTAAATCAAGTATGTGGCAGCAGAGACCGAAGCTATTATTGAAATATGTCAACATGTCGTTTTGTTTTACTGTCCACTGGTCATGTGCGTGACCTGGAACTATAACCCTTCCTAATAAACTTTTTATACATCCAGGATTTTTCCCCTTTATTTGCTATGTGGTTCCTTCTGCTCTTTCTCTCTCTCTGCCTTTCTGTCATATTTATTTCTAGACTAGCTTTACTAGCATGACCTTGATTAATTTCAGTATTGTCAAAGCAGGATGTGCAGGGTTTACATTGTAAACGTGTGCACATTACTACATAGTATATTATAGTAAAAGAAAGAAAACAAATCTCTCTCCCTCTCTCAGATTTACTGTTCCAGCTCCAGTTTCTTCTTGGACTCGCCCGACGTCCGTGGTGCTTCAGTGGAAAGTCAGGAGTTTTTTGCTGGGATCAGGGTATATCACAGTAATCTGAAATCTTACAACTTTGTTTGTGTGATGTATGTGAATGACCATGGCTATATTTTTTGAGCAAAGAGAGATCATTTATTTGTTTTTGAATGTGTGTCTGTGTCACTATATTTCTGTATAAGTGATTGTACCGTGAATATTTTATACTTAGGGTGGGTGGCCATCGACCGGTTGGGTTGAGAGACTGTTTGCCTTTAACACCTCTCTCTGAATGTCATGTGTTTCTGAATATCATGTGTAAAATGGCTGACCACTCTTCTTTTTTGACTGTTATGTGCAGCTAAGACCTGAGGTGAGCAGTGTACCTGAGGATGGGAGACTGTATGAGTTGGTGGTGGAGAGCACAGTTCCTGTCCCATGTCTGGAAGAGTCTTCCTCCTCTATGGAGCAGTGCACTCTGTCGCTGCAGCTCAGCACAAGCAGTCGGGGTGAGAAACAGAGAAACCTGTGAAAGGATCTAATATATGCTCAATAACAGCAGACAAAGGGTTAAGTAAAACTGCTGTGGAAATAGAACTGCTGTTCTATCTATCTGTTTTATCACCCTGTAAATAGATTAAACCTAAATCCTTGTTGTGTTGCAGATGAGGGAGTGTTGGGTGCAGATCTGTCTCTGTCCTCCTGTGTGGTGGAGCTGTCCCGGAGCCCCTGTAGGGACGGGGTTTGTGGCCGAGCTGGGATCCACTTCAGCCCAATCACTGACTTTGTCAAAGATGGCAACAGGACAACTCAGGTCTCTGTCAAAGCCATCGTCACACAAAACTTTCTCTGGAGCGGATACTCACCAGAACCTGTTGAGGTAAACAGATCAAACTGTCTGGGGGGTTGTTGATGGTTTATTAATTCACAAGGCTTCAGTTTTTATATATTAGTAGCTGCTTACATCATCATTGTTGCATTTGTTGGTTGCACGTGTCTGTAGTGTGATCCTGTATTTTATTTTAATTGCTCTCACATTTTCAGATAACAGTAAAGGATGTTCCCTCAGCCTATTGCTACTCCTTCACTGATCCTCACATCATCACATTTGATGGCAGGTACTTCAGTCTCTTATTCAGTTAATCAGGAAAGATGTGTCATACACTTTGTTATATTTAATTGCAGTTTAACAGATTAAACTGCATGTGTGAATTTTGAATTGTACATAATGAATAATGGCTTTTCTCTGTTTTTGCACTGTAGCTGCAAATATCTAATGATCCAAGGTTCAGGAACCAGAAGGAAAACAATTCTCTTAATATTTTTCTTTGTTTACTCACAGGCACTATGAGAGCTACCAAATAGGCACCTTTGTTCTGTATAAGAGCACTGTCTGGCCGTTTGAAGTCCACGTTCGTCAGTGGGAGTGCGGCAGCGTGATGCATGCTGCCTCGTGCGTGTGCGGCTTCGTGGCGAGGGACGGCGGCGATGTCATCGCTTTTGACATGTGCAGTGGGGAAATGGGTGAAACCAAACCTCATCTGTCTGTGAAGAACAGGGACTTGAGCAAGAGCGGCATTCGGATAACGGAGTCCTACCAGGGGCGCAAAGTCACTGTGAGTGAAGACGAGTCAGACACAAATAAAAAATATAATATATGAAATTGCTCCATTTTGACAGCGCTTTAGTTCACTTACATTATCATATTTTGACCAACATTTGACCAACATTCATTCATTCATTATTATTCAGTTATTATTATCATTGCATTTTTACGGGGAAAAAATCACACTTTTGTACCTACTTACACCCCCACCAACTTCCAGAGCACTTTCAGAAAGATTTAAAGCTGTTTCAAAACATTAATACTGAGGTTGGTGTATAAAATATGTAAATATGACTGAGAAGAAGACCCCTTATCCCCTACAAAGACTAAAACAAATCTGTTGAAATCTGTACAAGTCGATTGACTAAGACTACCTCGGTTTCAAAATGTGATAACCTAATTTAGCTGCTGCTTGTTACTGAAGATAAGATATTCTTTTATCTGCAGATGACCTTCTCATCCGGAGCGTTTGTTCGTGCAGACGTGTCTAACTGGGGAATGAGTCTGACGCTGAGAGCTCCCAGTTCAGACTGGAGTCACACTGAGGGTCTGTGTGGGACCTACGACGGACAGTCAGACAATGACTTCCACTCAGCACGGGGCGCCACACTGGAGGATCTGCATGCTTTTATCTCTGAGTGGAGGTTAGTTTTGTTATTTTGCTTTAGTTAGTTAGGATACAACAGTTGATGTATGTATTATGATTATTTGCAGATTTCTTCAGGAATTTGCACAGTAAAACCCTCTTTCCTCTTCACTGACATCTTTTTCTTTTTTTTTTTCCTGTGTCAGACTCCCTCCAGGCTCCAGCCTGTTTGACACCGTGCCATCCCATCTGAGTACACTGAGCCCCCGCAAGTACTGTACCTGTCAGACAGAGCCCCACCTCTCCTCTCCGAGAGTACGATCCCAACCAGTCACCTCCTCTGACTCCACCTGCTCTCATTATGGCAACGTGCATCTCCTCAGTGTCATCCCCACTCTGGACGTCACGGCCGAGTACATCGGCTCAGTGGAGCTACTCAGAGGAAATGAAAGACAGTCGCTGCCTCCGGGTCACTCCACCCAAAACACCCAGGATCAAGGTGTTGACGCTCAGCTGCGTGAAAAAGGCTTCAGCTTTAGAGCCTCCAGGGATGAGGCTTTGACCTCAGCCCAGCACCGGCGGCGCAGGGGGAGGCGGCAGACCCACCGTTACATTTCTAACTCCCCACATCAAAGCCTCAGTCAGTCTGACTTAGAGGGCTTTACCTACTTCTTCCCAGAGGACCACGAACCGGCAGTTCAACCAGACTCCTCCCCAACATGGCCCACACCTTCTGGCCTCACCGAGCAGCAGGCCCGGGATCAGTGCCAGCAGACTGTGGCACACTCAGGCATTGCTATAGGTTGCGGGCGCCTACTAGAGGAGTCACTAGTTAGCCACGCTGTGACTATGTGTGTTACTGACCTACAGCTGAAGGATGAGACGTCATGGCTGAATGCAACGCTGCCACTGCTGGAGAACGAGTGTGAGAGGAGGCTGGTGGAGGAGAGGAGGAGAGAAGAAGAGCACCAGGACGTTCTGGCCGTCCTCAAGTGTCCCAATCTGTGCAACGGGAACGGCCAGTGCTCGGAGTGGGGTTGTGTGTGCTTCCCGGGATTTGGGTCCTATGACTGCAGCGTGCTGTCTGGTAACATACTAAACACAGACCAACACAAACACACACCTGGCTAGAAAAAAAGCATCTGTTTTTTATGTTCATAGAGCAGCAGGTTAAAGCTACAGCTTGTAGCGGATTAGAATAAAAACAGATCTGCACCCGCACCACAACACCTTTTTAAGTTATCTCTGTTTCTAGCCTACTTGTAATACATTTAACAGTTGGACTTTGACTTTTCTGGACCTCTGTGATGACAGATGTATGACGGAGAGACATATGGTTTGTGATTCTGACTGAATTCCTAGCTCTAACAGTCCGTGCTTGTCTGCGCTTTTTCTTGTGTATGTTGTGAAGACCAGATCCCAGAGATCACCGAGTTGGAGAAGGAGGGTCTGTGTGACGTCCGACAGGGAGACTGCTCCGCCATCCAGGTCTACGGTCAAGGCTTCAAGGACTCCTACGAGCTCAAGTGTGAGTTTGTTAAAGAAAAGGTACTTTTAGTTTGTTTTATTAATTAAAATCAAAAAAAGAAACATGAAACTTCCATGTTCTTGTGTGTTATTCTCCGAAATGCATCGCTAATTATTACACGTCTATGTTCAGCTCCGGATCTTTACTAAAACTGTAGAAAGGCAATGCAACAAGCTGTTAACACAAAACTGATGCATCCAGCAGATGTAGCGCAACATTGGCATTCACTTAATCTCCAGTGACTAAGCTGCCTGTTCTCGTGACCTTGTGTCTCCCTGTATAAGCCCCTTTCTTAATGTAATGCTCTGATCAGCATTAAACTGACCGATGTCAACAGGTGATTTATACTTGATTCCCAGTTGACATCTGTACTTTCATCTCCTTTTTTTCTCTCTCCTTCGTCTCTCTCGTTCCCTACTTTACCCCTTTTCTCTTGCCTTTCCTGTTCTCATCTCTAATGTCTGTCTCTGCCTTCGCCTCCTTCTGTGCCTCTGGTCAAGTTTGTGGATGGAGACTGGGTTCTGGACGAGCCCCAGTTTGTCCTGGCCACCTTTCTGGATGTGACGGCCCTGGAGTGCCAGCTCCCCCTGGAGGACGGTCGGACTCCTTCAAGCCTGGACCTGGAGACGGTGATAAACAGACCACTGGCCCGCTGGCAGATCAAAGTTAGTCACATCTGGTGAAACTACTGTGAAATCAAGAATACGTTAACTCACTCTCACTCACTTTTATTTGTCTTTTGTCTCCCCCCACTCCCTCCACAGTTTCATAAATATGAAACTCTATTCTTATTTTGCAAGATGTCAGAATGCTCCCACAGTAAATCTGCACTGGGGTAATTGGAAGCAGACAGATGTGAAAGTTAGTTTTCATTATTTGGCTGCTGGAGTGGAAAGGGTCCACAGAGTGCAGCTGGAGCTTTTCCTGTTTTAACTGGGTTTAAGAGGAAAATAGACTCAGCACTTTGAAACAGTGCAGATCCAAAGTGCCATCAGCAAAGTGCATAAAACAAATTAGTGTGTGGGAACAACTTTCTCCCTGAGGAGGACCTTTCCAGGGCCACAGTGCCCCCAGTTCATATTGCCTCTTATGTGTATTGCTTCTTTTAAGTATTTGAGTAGTCAAAAATGACCCATTGTGAACAACTGTTGTTCAGTTTATTTGTTTAATTTTCCCAGTGATCCACAGTAAACACCTCTCCTCTGATGGCAGGTATCTAATGACGGCTACAGCTACAGTAACGCCAAGATACTGACTCTGTACGATGGAGCCTGTCAGATCTGCAGCCTCAACACCGAAATTCTCTGTACCCTGAGGGTAAGACATCCTCCTGATTTTAATTTAATATATGGATCAAAAAGTAGCACTATCTCCGAAGATAAATTTTCCTCTCAGCCTGCATCCTTCATCCTGCAACATCTTCAGCTGAACTCTCGACCTGAAACTTCTGCATCTGGTTTCAAAGCTCTGCTGCCCTCTGTTCCTGGTGAATTCAAGAATAAATGAAATAAAATACGGAAAATAAATAAATTTACATTTCTGATGTTCGTAAGAATCAGCAATGAATTATCCCAGTACAAACATGGAACTTTAAGGAATTCAGATGTGCATTTAGATCTGTATTCAAGTGCCCTAAAATATGTAGCAAAGTAGGGCTGCAACAAACAGCTGCAACACGAGCAGGAACAGCAAATGTTTAGCATTTAAATGATTAATAAATCAACAAAATTGCCAATTATTTTTTTGTTGATTGACTAAATGTTTTATTAACTAATCTGACTGACAAACAAAGCATTTTCCTGTATTGCTGAAAATGAAGAGACGACAGTTAAATCTTGCGTCTCGCTTCTGCTGCCGCTATTTACAAAACACTTAACTGTGTGTGTTTGACGCTTAAACCTGATTTGACTAAATATCAAGAGAAGTTTTCACTTACAGACGCAGTGATCGGCAACTTCCAACAGAAAGGTGCAAGTTTGTGGCAGGAGAGTAACTCAGAATAGAAAATATATATTTAGGCACAATGCAAAGAAATCAGTATGAGGTGCTGCATTAAATTCTCTGTGTTGGTTTGAGGGGAAAAAAGAAGTATAATAAAGTTTTTTTTCTGTGTATCATTGAACAATGATGCCGACCACGTGTTCTGCAGCGGAGTGAACATTCATCATGCAACTGTCAACCGTAATGGTACAATCACTGATCTGTTTGTGAGTTAGTGTTGCTGAATGTCTGAGGTGAAACACAGGAAACAATCAGGTTTGTTTCCCTCGAACCAAATGTGTTGTTTGTTTCAACAAAACCGACCCTGTTCTCTTGGTGGCGTGTTCTGTCTGCGTGTCACTGAGGCAGGTCAGCATGTTTCATGTTAACAAAGGTAGTTTGTTCCAGATAGAAATAAACACTGAGGTTATTTATTTTTTTACAGTGTATTTTCTTTGCTTCCCAGGAGAAAACCTGCAACATTGACGGTCTATGTTACAGTGAGGGAGAGTCCAATCCCAGCAGCCCTTGCCTCACATGTCGGCCGGACTCGTCCAAACACACATGGTCCATAGCAGAGAGTACGTACACAGCAATGTCAGCGTCTTTAATCTGGTTTGTCTCACAGCTCGTGCACATTTAACAGCACAGAGAAAGTGTAAACTAGACCCAGCACTGTGTAAGGCTGAGAAAGCCGTCACTGCCTCAGTGGAGCTGAGGCTGGATAGCCATCGCTGAGTTTTGTGGCTGGTAGCCGCTCGGGGCTGTTTGGATAATTTGTCAGCAGCTCTGTGCAGATTGGAGCCATTGAAGTTGCTTGAGTCCCCCGGCGCTGACATGAGGAGAGCTTACCTCATTGTTACACTTTCTGACCAACTTTACTTCTTCAACTTAAAGTAGGTCAAACGGTGCTGTGCTCCGACCGCAGGAAGGGACAAAATACGTGGCATGAACTTGACAGGAGTTACAGGATAATGATGACAGACAAGGTGATATTGATTAGACTGATTATATATATACTCATTAATATGTTTGATATTTGATTTTTGAGGCTAATTCTGATATTTGAGAGTTAAAAAATATGAGAACAGTATTTTTTTATAATATAATATTTTACATTAACAGTTAACATAAGAAAACATTTTCTTAATCATGAGTTTTTACTAAGATATGTAGTGAGTGGGACATTTGTCATTTGAAGAAGTAACCCTAACAACAAATATTATAAATTAACAAACGGTTAATCATGCTGGAAATCAAAGTATTATCAATAACCAGAGTGTGATGTTGGCACTGCCTCTCTCTCTCATGTCATGTCCTGTAAGCTCTCTACTAGCTTTTTTGAATAAAGGCAATAAAAACTATGAACAACAACAAATATGCTACAAAAATATACTAATGTTGAGATTAGAAAAATAAGATTGTAAAAATATGTAAAAATACAGCTGATAAAGAAAACTGAATAAATTATAGAAGAATTATAATAAACAGAAAAATTAAGTTCTGTGCTGTGCAGGCAAGACTCTATATTATGAACAAGAAATTAGTTTTTTATAGTTAGAATAGCAATATAATATCTGGGCTCTGTCGAAATGTCTACGAGGCAGAAGTCTTATGTAAAAATTAACCCTTTTATCAGCTTGTAACACAGCAGCCTAAAGAGAGACAAGATAGATTTGTTCCGTCTGTATTATGCTGTGGTTGTTTTTGCAGAGTGTGGTTTATGTCCTTTAGTCCTCATTCACATATTTAACCACACTCACTTGCTTTTTCCCACCTTTGTATCCCCCATCAGAGAACGCGCCCCCGGTGCTGCAGTCTCTGCCGTTTGGTCTGCGGTCCTTCAAGGGGGAGAACTTCATCTACCAGCTACAAGCTGAGGACCCCGAGGGCTCGGCGGTTCTCTTCACCCTGATATCGAGTCCCGAAGGTGCATCTCTGTCTGCGGCCGGCCTGCTGATGTGGAAGGCCACAGCCGAAACTACAGACACGCACACGTTCCACTTCACCGTGACGGACGACTGTAACGCTGAGACCAGAGCCTCTGTGCAGGTACTGCTGGGTTTGTTTTTCTTTTATGTGTCGTGCTGTGACCCGAACAGACTTCCTTTTACAAGTGTTGAAGTTTTCTTACAAATATAGTATGAAGTATCAGTATGTTTGAGAAGTGGAATTACAAAATAAATACAATATAATGAAAACATAAGCCTGAATAGATCATTATTTTATTTTCTGATAGTTTATACAGGTGTGAAAAATACAATTATACATGTGATAATGTAAAAAATTATATAGAATTAATCAGACATCATGAATGAGGCGTTTTTCAAAATAAATAAGTCACTGTAAGTGAAGCTGACACTGTGAGAAGCTGTTCCTTGTCTAAAAACATTTATTCTAGTCAAACATTCAAATGTGTTTTGAACCAGCTTGCTTCCACACATTTACTGCCTTGTACAGAGACAATCAGTGAGCAGCTCCACTGCAGCAGTGGGAGTTAGGTGCTTTATTTAACACCACCTCAACTCGTGTATTTTGAGGGAGGGTTTAAGTGTCAGTTATTTTTGGCAGGTCAGTAAATTCTTGAGAGGGTCCAAAAGCAGCAAACCTCTGGTCAAGAGACTTTGATGGTCTTTGGTTCTCTGTTGATGTCTTTGCTGCTTCCTCCCACTAGAGGGAGCTGACGATGCCTTAGTTTCTACTGAAGGTGCTGTGCCACTAATTCTAAGCAGGTTTTGAGTATGTACTGAAACACACACAGGAAATAGGGGAAGCTGCTGAAAGTTGCAAAACATTCACAAAAACTGTTAATGGTGGTAAAACAACAACAACTCACAAAATGTGTGATTTCCTTCCTCTTTGTGAAGTTTATTTTTTCAGCAGTAGCAGCTTAAAGTCACTGTTTGAATGACATGCATCTTTGTCGATATTTTGTATGATTTCCTGTTTGCACACGAGTAAAGTGCACTGACTAAATGCAAAAACTATGCAAAACTATACTATGAAAATTGAACTAGAGCATAAACTGTACAGTAATAGTTTGTGCAACTGTGAGCTAAGATGTTTTTCTCTGTAAACCTACTTTTAGTTTCAGAGTGTTCATTTGTTTTCTTATCATGAGTTTGATTTCCCCTACTGTACAATAAGTGTTGCTGTCCACCTCTGTTTCTTTTGTTTTCTTACATGTATAAATACGTCCATGTACCTGCTTGTTTTTAAGTCACAAACTGGTGGTGACATTGGTCATTTGGTGTCATCCAAATAACGAGTCAGACTAAAGCAGTGTGTTTCTCCCAGGTGTCTGTGCGTTCCTGCGAATGTCTGAACGGAGCTTCCTGTGTGACCAACGTCAACCTCCCTGTCGGCAGCGGGGAATACCTGTGCGTGTGTCTCGATGGATTTAGAGGGGAGAGGTGTGAGGTGGACATTGATGACTGTAAACCCAACCCCTGCAGACTGGGCCGCTGTATTGACGGCCCCAACTCCTTCTCCTGTATCTGCCCACCTGGAATGACAGGTGCATATATATTTGCATATTTTATTTTTTATTTTTTTGTAAGTTGTGGAGTTTCCTCACATTATTCCACTTTGTGCTTCCTGTGTTTTCAGGCCGTACATGTAGAGAAGATGTAGATGAGTGTGTCTCTCAGCCTTGTTTCCCTGGGGTGAGCTGTAACAACACGCTGGGCTCCTTCATCTGTGGAGTCTGCCCACACGGATACAGTGGTGATGGAAAACACTGCACCCGTAAGTCGATTTTATTTTGAAAATCAGTTGTTTTTCATTTGCTAAAGGATAAGGTGGCGATCTCTAGGATTGATGTGCTCCCTACATAAATAAGAAAATTCTTGTCGTTCATTTAAAGTTTGCTCTCATCCTTTTCGTTTCCAAGGTAACACAGACTCTACTGTGAAAGCTGGGACCACACCGCCAAGAATACCGCAGGTTTCTTTGAAGCCCAAACCCTCAGGCGGGTCGCCCTGCAGCAGGAGGCCGTGTCACCCCGGGGTTCAGTGTTTTGAGAGCATCCATGTCTCCGCAGGCTTCGTCTGTGGACCCTGTCCTCCTGGTCTCCATGGAAACGGACGAACATGCAGCGCAACGCCAGGTGAGGATGCTGATGAAGGGACAGCAGTGACCATGTTGTGTGCTATGGCAGGCTATACAGTTGTGAAATAGTGTATTTGAAAATTTTATGAAACATGAATTACATCACAGGACACACAATAATATTACAAATGAAGCATTTATGTTTCAAAGAACAAAACATTGCTTCTTAACCCAAAGAAAACTAATTAAAACTTTTCACACAGACACACGGAGTTAAAGCAAACATTACTTTTCTTAATGTCCAGGGAGAGTCCTGATACTCTAACAGAGCCTGTTGTTGTTGAAAACTGTTCCTGTGAAAAAAACCCAAAACAAATTAAAAATATTTCTTTTTCTGACTAATTAAGTAGGTTTATTACTTGTGTGTTCAAACAAATAAAAACTAAATAAGACTAAAGTGCTCTGTCATTGCAGCCTGATTGAGTGTTGAGTGTTTTATCAACTACATTAGTGTTATTTTTTTAAGTCATGTCCTCTAACTTCCAGTGTTTTACAGGGCAGGGAACAGTCGCCGACGGAGCAGATGGACATATTCACATTACCAGATCAAATTCCAGCAAGGAAATGACTCCCACCACCTCCTCCTCCTCTTCGTCATCATCTCCCACCTCACCCAGACGAACATCTGACAGGAGGACGAGACCAGAAGCCACCATCTCTACCACCAGAAGAGTTTCCTCTTCGGACAGGAAGGCCACAGCGACCCCACAGAATCAAACTGCAGCCAGCGTGTTTGCTCCCACTGTCCTCAGAGGTCAGCCGAGTGGGGTGGAGCTGACCCCCGACCTCACCACTGGGGTCAAATGGGGGCCTCCGCCTCACCGCATAACCTGTGCCGACTCTCCCTGCTTCCCTGGCGTTCCCTGTGAGCCCACCGCCACCGGGTCCTTTAGGTGTGGACGCTGCCCGTACGGTTACACCGGGGACGGGGTCACATGTAAAGGTAGTGACTTCCTGGTAATGGTGAATGTCTACTGCATGTCTGCAGGCTCCAAAATGATTCTTTAAATCTGCTTATTTTTGTTTCACCAACAGGGAAACATGAAACGTACAAAATTCACACTATGAAATGCAAAAGCAGGAAATCCTCAAATTTGGGAATTTGTAACCTCCAAATTATTGGTATATAAACTCCAGGATGAATCAGTTAAACAAGCAAAACATGTCTTTGTCATTGTCTTTAATTAAAGGCTCTCGGAAATTAATATTGAACTTATCTGAAGATGAAGATCACAGCAGATAGATCAGACTGGTAGAAACTGATGTAGCCCAAGATATCCTTAATTCTTTTCTCTAATGAGGGTCAAGATACAAACAACGCATCAACAATAAACAATAATGTGTAAATGTGTCTGCTTTAGTCGATTCGTAGCTTGTTAATCAATTCAGCATTAATCTCGCCCTCAGTGTTCTGTACAGTAGTTGTGCACATTGAAGCAGTGTACAGTCATCCCATGATGGATAGACACCTTCAAAATAAACCTGTGATTTATTCCAGCTGTGTGCAGGTATCAGTGCGGGAGGAACATGGAGTGCTCGCTGCCAAACACCTGCTCCTGCAAAGAGGGTTACACCGGATACAACTGTCACATAGGTGAGAATGAGGGAGGGTGGACAGAGTGCGATTTGTTTAATGAAACCCAGTTCATTAAATCGTGTCACACTCCAGTGAACCTCTGCAGCCCACACACCGTTTCAACAGAGCAGACCTTGGAGTGCTCTGCACACTGTCTCGACGCGTTACTATTAAACCACCACTGAGGATTCATCATATTAACCTCAGCGGCTCATTATGTTCATCAGAGCTGTCACGTCTCTTCTCTCTCAGCCGTGTGTCGACCCGACTGCAAGAACCAGGGGAAGTGTGTGAAACCTGATGTGTGTGAGTGTCCTGCAGGCTACAGAGGGCCCACCTGTGAGGAAGGTAATCTGAGCTCATATTCACACCTGTCCAACATACTGACACCACACATTGCTCACAAAATACCGACGAGTGTCTTGTCTTTTTTTTTTGGTGTTGTTTACAACCCTGTGTCGGCGTGTAGCGAGCTGCGAGCCGCCCTGTCGGCACGGAGGCACCTGTCTGGCCAGAAACCTGTGCACCTGCCCCTACGGCTACGTGGGACCCAGATGTGAAATCAGTGAGATGTTGTTGAATGACTCTGACATGGCGAAACATTTTGTGATGTGGTTACGACAGTGCAGCCTGTGAACAGTGTGACCGTGATACATTTTTGTGTTGTACTGATTCTGTGTTTCAGCACGTTAAACAGTGACTGTGAGTTGAAAGTACTGACTCTAAAGGGATAGTTTATGCTAATTTGCTTTCTTTCTGAGAGCTGGATATCACGTCTGTATGATGACATGAAGCAGCCGGTTAGCTTAGCTTAGCATTAGGACTAAAATCAGGGGGAAAGAGCTAGCCAGGGTGTGTCCAAAGTTAAAAACATCTGGCCGCCAATACCTATAAAGCTCACTAATTTTTTGCAGTTAAAGTCTACCAGAAGTCTCTGGCAGAACTCCGAACTCTTTCATTTGTTTGTAGTCTTGTTGCCATGGCAAAGTTGACAGACAACCAGCAGATTTTTTTTGTTTTTGTATGGATTAAAGAAACGAAATATGATGTTTTGAGCTGCAGAGAGGCCGGAAGGTGAATTATTTTTACCCTTAGACAGAGCCAGGGTTGGTGTTTCCCCCGTTTCCGATCTAAATAATCAGCTGCTGGTTGGAGCTTCATATAATCTTCTCATCGAACTTTCTGCAAGAAACAAGTATTTCCCAAACTGTCTTAATTGTTCCTTTAGTTTGGGAGCATTTACTTACATCAGATCAACCATTGAGAACTTATAGCCTTATATACACCTTTATGCAAAAGAAGTAAATCCACCCCCTGCAGCAAACAGACACTGTTAATGCACTGATTTTATTTCATCAGCAAAAAAGTAGAAAATGTCTGTTTATGCTGCAGGGGTTGTATTTACTTCTTTTCACTTCAAAAGTCAACAAAACACATAATTTGCCCGGGGGGGGGCAAACTTGTACATACAACTGTGTACCCTAGTTTCAGAGGACCAAATGTAATTAAGATATGGTGAGTCCACATTTTTCATCTCTTTGCAGTCAGTGTCTGTCTGAAGTCTCCAACCAGCAGAGCTCAGCAGACACTCTGTGTCTCCCCTGCTGATGCTGTGATGCCGTCTCTCTCTCTCTCTCTCTCTCTCATTTGATTGAGTTTCTGTCTTTTCATTTAGGAGTGTGCGTAACAATCATGTGTCTGTCTCAGTGGTGTGTAACAGGCACTGTGAAAATGGAGGCGAGTGCGTTTCGCCTGACGTCTGCAGATGCAAACCCGGCTGGTACGGACCAACATGTAACTCAGGTACAACATTTGAAGGTTTTTTCTCAGACCACATTTCCAGGTGGCACAAAACTTGCACGCACTCTTATCTAAACGTAGCCTGCTGTTCCCTCTGCAGCTCTCTGTCAACCCGTCTGTCTGAATGGAGGAACATGCATGAAGCCCAACGTCTGCGCCTGTCCCAGTGGCTTCTATGGCTCTCAGTGTCAAATTGGTGAGACGGTCATGAATAAATATCACAGGGACAAGTTCTACTGCTCTGCTCTTCCACCTCTGAGAGTGAGCTGCACAGAAACTTTGAATTTTAAATGGACCTGTTTCCATTTCAACAACTGTGAGATCAAAGAAGGATCTTTGAGGTGGTTAATGAGCCTCAAACAGTGTTAAAGACATTTATTGATGCTGTTACTGGCTTTTTATTGAAACTCTGATACAATCACTTCACCTCCGATAAGATGGAGGTCCCTTTCTGATCAATGTATTGCTATTTTATGTTTTTTTAGTCATTCTTAGCTAATTTGTTAAATCTTTTGAGCACATGATGTTTTACATAATAATATGTTAGACCACTGAGACTTAAATAGCTGGGTTTTGATGAAAAGTTCATGGAGAATCTTTCAAAGGCGAGAATGAAATTAAGGGAAAATGAATTCTTCTTGTGTTTCGTATAAAAAGAGGGAATGTTGCCAGAAATATCAGCAATTTTTCTATACAGATATCAGCATACTTACCCTTTAAAAGATTTTAAAGCAGTCTGCAGTACTGAAGGTTTATTTTCACTAATAATATGGTGATTATTCAGCGATCCCTGCAGGCAGATTTATTCACTTCCCCTCTACACAAAGAGGTCAGAGGTCAGAGCCAGGTCACACAGACCTAGATGTAGCTTAAAGGCTTTCTTTCCTCCTATTTAATACACCAGCTAAGAGCAACAGGACGTGATGGCTGAGAGGAGACATATGATGCCTTTTACTTACAGTCACTGTAGTTATTCCCTCTGTTTTCCCTCCATTTGACATTTGAACGTTGGAGGCTATGTCAATATTTCTTAAAAAAATGTGGTCAGTGTTACCTCTGTCAGATTTAAATTTCTATTTTCCATGTGTTCAATGCCCCTCGAAATCCCCACAGTTGAGTGTCGCTGTGTGTTTCAGCTGTGTGCAGTCCGCCCTGTAAGAACGGAGGTCAGTGTATGAGGAACAACGTGTGCTCCTGCCCCGAAGGCTACACGGGAAAAAGGTGTCAAAAGAGTAAGTAAGTTTACCGGCTGCATATAGTTGAGTGCAGGCTTATTTGAAGTAATCCCTGCAACTGGCAGTTCACAGTTTAAATAAATATGGTGGAAAAAAAATAAAATAAAAATGTGTTCCAGGTGTGTGTGAGCCGATGTGCATGAACAAAGGCAAGTGTGTGGGACCCAACACATGCTCCTGTGCATCAGGATGGAGAGGGAGGAGGTGTAACATACGTGAGTGACTCCATGTATTCATACACACCAGTTACATCGCAGGTAATATGAGGATCATACAGTGGTGTGTGCAGTCTGCGTGTTTAGCTTTAAGATCAAGCATTAAACCTGCTCAGCCTTGTTCAGGTTAAAGGTCGGTTAATTTAATGCTGGTTCCAGACCTCTTAAGCTTTTCCCACATCTTAAGATTTTTTCAGTGACTCAAATAATTAGAAATAAGTGACGTTTTTCAGTTTGACAATTTAAACACTTACTTATACTTTCCATTCAAGCAAACCTTGTATCTCAGTGATTACCTCATTATGTCTCGCAGAGCAGGTGTAAATGCATTTCAAGATTAAACACGAATGGTTCCTTATATCATTATGTCCCACTTTGGCATTTTGTTTCAACGGACATACATAATAGATGCTCTGTGAATTATTAGGACTTTTTTACTCTGTCCCTCCCCTGACCCCCAACCATAGTCCTAACTTTAACTTTACCAAGTGTGGTCTAAAGCAAAGCATTTGCTGCCGAACGTTGTTGTGCCGAATGTGCACAGGCCAAATTTGTGTGTCCCACTGTGTAAATGCTGATTCACTGTGACTTTACACAGCAGAAGGTGAGTGTTGTAGTGAAGATTATTTTACCTTCTTCATCCCATGTAGTCACCAGAAACACTAAATCTACGTCAAGCAATTCAACGTTCAGTAACTAGTCATCGCTCTAATGCTGATAATGAGTGTCGGCGAAAAGATACTGAGCCTCTGAAAGCTTGTTTCACTGTTTTCAATATGAATAGCTATTTTTATTTTGTTTATCTCTCCCAAGATACATTATATATTATACTTTACCAATGTAAAACTATCATTTACAACATGTTTGGTGTTGGGTGGTCCTGCAGTCGAGTCAGAGGTACAGTGTTGTAGGTTTTGTGCTAAAATCATTGGCCAAGCTAATGAAGACCGCTAACTTCTTCCTCTGTGCTCTGACTGCAGCCGTCTGTCTGCAAAAGTGTAAAAATGGTGGCGAGTGCGTTGGACCAAACACCTGCCACTGTCCCAGTGGCTGGGAAGGACTTCAGTGTCAAACACGTGAGTGTATTCATGATAAAACAGTGAAGAAATTCAGAGACTCTGGAGTGAAGTTACAGTAGCTACCTGAAGCTTTATCATTGTTGTTGCTATTTATTTGTTTGTTGTCAAGATAAACAGATAAAATATATAGTATTTCTACAGGATATACACCTTTTGATTTATTTTTGAATCATAAATACTCGAGTGTTTACTCTGTGTAAAGAATCCTTTAATATTGATTCCCTCCTCAGCGGTCTGTAAACAGCGTTGCTTGAACGGAGGCAGGTGTGTCCTACCTGACTACTGCCACTGTCGGAAAGGCTACAAAGGCCTCACCTGCACAGTCAAGGTCAGCACTTCATATACAGCACATGGCTCTGTGTAGCTCAGTGGGAGAAGCACTAAACAGGGTTGAAGGGTTTGTCATCTCCGAGGCGTCTCCTTACCTTTACACCTGGTAGGTGCCTCTCATGTATTAGTGTTACAGATGTATCCAAGCATCGGTTTTTCTTTGAAAGATGAATACCTGGTGATGTTTGAAACACCCAGATGCTCGTTTAAGAGAGCTGCATCTTGGGAAAGGGGTTAAAAGTAATTCTCATCGTGCAACAGATGGAGTGTTTTTTCATCCAGATGGTGAGAGGAGTCTTTGAGGATTCAGAAAATACCTTCAGAACAGTGATCAGTGATGTTAAACGAGCTCCTGGGTTTTTCAAAAAATCTGCTGGGTATTTATCTTTCAGAGACACTGATGCTCAGCTCTGTGACTTGAATGTAACACTAATACATGAGGTGCAAACTGGGGCTTGCGGTACTGTAATTCACCAGGGAAAGACATTAATCACCTTGAATGTGTTGATAAAATGTGGTATGTGAAATCTAATTTTACTGAATTTATTCTACACCTTCACAGGCCTCACAAGCATGATGGAAGAGAAAAGAGACGAGGAGAGAAAGAAGCTACAAAATGCACAAAGCAAGAAGAGAGCACCAGAAGTTGTATGTATGAGTGTGTGTGTGTGTGTGTGTGTGTGTGTGTGTTGATCAATATTGGCATGTGTGCACATTCGAATGCTACCAGAGGGACTTGATGTATTGCACTTGTCTTTTTGTCCCTGTATATCACTACCTCAAGGCTACAAGTGACACACATCTGTTCAATTCATCAGCAGAGGTTCTATACAGATGTGCGAGTGTTACTGCACAGTATCATGTAGAATAAGTAAATGACAATGTAGGTTATTACCAGCAAACTTTCAGTTTTAGGCTTTTTGTAATTTAGCCAAATTATAGCCTGGTTTAACTTTTACCAAACTGATGTGCACTGTTTGTTGCTCACTTAAGAGAAAAATAAAATAGTCTAAAATCAAAAAATAAAAAGTCTACTTTATTAATTCTGCCTAACTTAGTTCACATCACTAATTTCTATTTGACTGAAGACATTAATATAAATATGATGCAATTTAACAAAAATTGCATTTGTTTTTTTCTTTATTGCTTTCTTGAATATATTGTTTGATCAGGCCCGTTTAGGTTATGACCCATTATATATTTACACTGATACTAAACGTGTATTAAAATAACGACCACCTGTTGGATTTATGTTTTCTAAAAACTGTTTTATCAGCAGCAGATTACACTGTGGTACAAGTAACCTGACAAAATCTAAATAATGTACTATTTCTGTGCTTTTGTTTGGTTAAATGAGCTTTGATAAGGCATGCAATTCATTATTTTATTCATTTAATCACACAAATTACAGTATAGTACATAGCATGTTTGTACAGTCAAATGAGAACATTACACAGGTTCAATGTTTCTTAAAAAAGACAAATCATGTGGTAAAAAAAAATGTAAAAACTACCAATGTTCAAAATATAACTGTCCTCGGTCCCTGATTGGGCCTCACTGACCTGTGACCCCGGCTGGGTCACACTAGTGAGACTTCTTCCTCTCCTCACAGCGTGGGCCAGAATAAGGGAGACGACAGCGGCATTTGTCAGGAGAAATACACTTCCCTCCGTTCAGGCAGGGCTGTGTGCACACAGCTACAGGCAGAAACAACATCAACAACAAAAGGTGTTAATCATCTGTAAAAACCTGAGAAAGTGGAAGTGACTGGAAGGATTTACAACTGATGATGTTGTAAATCCTCACACCACAAATCCAGAAACTGGCCACAGAGGTGAGAAGTGTTTCAGTGTCTGGGTTTGGTCACATCTGGAAAAACACTGAGTTGTAAAATTTCTTCAATAAACACCTACATACAATTTATATCATTCTTGTTGGTTTGGCAGACTGATATCTGAACCATTATTCTTCTCAGTGACATGTAGACAGTTCACAGGGATTTAAGACCAAACTGAAAAGAGTTTGAATGAGGGGGAGAGGAAGAGGAGAGACAAAAGAAATGCTTGTAAAGTGCATTGATGCATATGAAAGTACTTGGTCTTTGGGACCAGATTTAACTCACCAGTGTGGCAGGCACCACCCAGCCATCCCTCCGGACAGCTGCAGATTCCTGGAGCCACACAGATTCCCCCGTTCCTACAGCCTTGAGGACAAATTGCTGCATGGGAAACAAACCATAGAGAAACATTCTCAGCATGCCAGGAAGCAGATCTGGGCTTTAGTCTAAGTTACACATATGTGATGGAGGCAGAGCTGCTCCAGAGGCTTACCTAGGCTAACCTAGACAACAGGAAAATACATTGATTTTGTCTGATTTTGAAACTTTTCCTTTAGTGCCATCATCAGGTCATGATTTTAGTGTGTCCAATACTCTGGTTTATGACCAAGAACATGCAAAACTAATGACATTCCCGTCAGACCCTATTGCATTTGGTGTTTAGTGCTAGTATGCAAACGTTAGCAATGCTAACATGCTAAACTAAGATGGTGAACATAGTGAACATACCTGCAGAACATCAGCATGTTAGCATGATGACATTAGCGTTTAGCTCTAAGCGGTGTGTGCCACTCACCATATAAACTTCCCAATGAGACATCAGTTTGTTTTCCAACATTGTTTTGGAGCTGTATCACCTGTATCTTTCCAGCTGTGGGCAGCTACTTCATTTATGCATTGCATTGTGGGCGAATAGCTTGCATCAGTAGTAACCATAAAAACCATGTTGTGTTTTTCATACTGTCTACTTTGAGTAAAATTTATTTTTACTTTTCCAGAGTGAACACACAAAGACCCAGCTCAGAATCACTGTGAAGTCTTTGTTGATTGAACTTCTGCATTTTGCCTCCAAAGCAGCTCCGCCCCTTTAAAATATGTGTGAAGCAGAAATTAAACTCTAATTTACTGCTACTGTCTTAATCATCATGAACAAGCTGTAAAACTTAAGTATCACACATAACCACTAAGATAGATTGATTTGATTTTCTGAATGTTGCTTTCCACTGTCAGCCTCAGAAAATGTTTTAGTAGTCTACTGCTGATGAAGCTCCAGCTGGGAGACCGGCTCCATGACTTTGACCTTTGGTGTTAATAGGGTAATTAGATACGGCTATAAACAGACCCTCTTGGCATCTTGAGCCGGTCCAGCTCGAGGGGCAGATGCACTTGGCCACTCCGTTGACGGCGGTGCATTCCCCTCCGTTCCAACATCCTGCATCACACGTCACTGCCAAAACACACACACAGACCACACCTGTCAGCAGTGATGTTGATCAGAGTTATACCTGTCCTCAAGTGGTTTCTGACGGCATTGATTTTATATAGATAGATACTTTATTCATGTAGAAGTAGAACCTGGTCATGATTCCTAACACCCTATAGGCAACCCTCCTGTTAAATGACCTGTTCCTGCACAACTGCCCTTTGTGTTTTTAACCATGACCCCTTAAATGAAGCAATGCCTCCTAACAACCCATTGTCACAAATTGCATATGTCTATTGGTGGTTATTAGGTTTTAATACATTTTTTAGAAGCACGAAAAGGTACAATTATCCCGAAATCTTCTTAGAAAAAGGCAAGGATTAAACAAAGCCTGGAAAAAAATAACATAGCTTCATTGTCTTGTGATTTCTCAGATTTATCCTGGGACCCAGGATCAAGGTAAAGTAAGTAAAGTAAGTTGAAAAACACTAGTCTGAATACTGTTTCAAAGAATTCTCCATACTACCAGGGAGATAAATAACTTGTATTTTGATTCAACTTATGTTTTTGCCATAAAGAGTCACATAAGAACCATCCTTTAAAAACTCACTACATAACTTTGACTGTAGTTACATAGGTTGACTACAGCCCTGATAGATTTGGCATGTAAAGGTTGAGCCAGTGGAAAAGTTTTTACTCCAAGGTTACTGAACTACTTTCTGGGAAAAATCCAGCTGCTCTACTTTCTGACCGGAGGTTAGAAGGAATCTGATGTATGTCTGGTAAAGAGGGACAGCTGCGTATTGGAATGTATGGCTGTAGTTCTACTGTATCACACGGAGGAAAGAAAACAGAGTTAAGTTAAATGCATGACATTAAGAGCAGAGGGAAAAACTGCTTTCTGAATCTGAATCACACAGCCACTGATTCTGTCAACAACTGTTGGACCAACTGGATATTTCATTTACAGTTCACTCCAAATAAACCCACTTACCTTTGTGACAGTATCTTCCTCCAAATCCAGGAAGACATCTGCATTTTCCAGGGCGAAGACACTCCCCTCCATTCTTACATTTGGGATAACAGTTGGCTGAATTCACACAGGAAACACATGATTTTGAGTGTTTCTTAAGACATTTTTAAAAATCAGTAGCAAAATAACTCGCTCTTATAGAAGTGTATATGAATGTTGATCATTTGGAAATGAGCCTCTTTATGTCTTGAAATAAATGTGCTTTTCCCATCAAGGTAGAGCAAGGTCTGGCTTTCGCTGACATGAATCTCTGTGATGTAAATTCTGCAATAAAATGGTATAAGTTACATGAAAACACACTTTAAAGGGGAAGCATATGATATAGAGCTGCAAGGATTAGTTGATTAATCGGTTGAAAAATAAATAATTTAACTATTTTGATACCCAGTGAATTGTTTAAGTAATTTTTTTCAACCAACAATCCCAAACATTTGCTGGATCCAGCTTCTCAAAATAAGGACTTTGATGCTTTTCTTTGTCTTATTTGCAAATTTCTAGACAAAACGATTAATCGATTAATTTTCTGGTATATTTTTCCTAATTAACAAAGGAAAACATGTTACACACTAAATGCACTTCGAAATAAACGTGGTCAAAAGGTTTGTAACATCACCATACTGGCAGGTCTCTCCTTCATAGCCCCTGGAGCAGAAGCATGTATTGTTGCGGATGCAGATTCCTGCGTGTGCGCACGGCGGCTCGCACTTCGCTTTGGGGTCGAAGACGAACCCGACCGCGACTCCCCGGGGTGCGTCGGAGCCCGCGGAAGAGACGCCGACCAGAGCCACCAAGGAGGCGAGAAAGAGAACCGTTGAGCCGAGACCCACAGAGCCCATGGTCGGTGTGTAAACTGGAGAGAGTGCAGGGGAAGGACGGACAGAGACAGGCGGTGGACGGAGATGGAGAGAAGTCCCCTGCAAAGTACCGAGACTTCTCCACGTCGCCCCCGCTGCTCCACCGAGGGAAACTGCAGCACATGCAGGTTAGTGCCGGGGGGGGGTGGGAGTGTCCTGTGGTGGTGGCCGGGAGAAACTGGACACATGAACACAAACACAAACAACACAAACATTAATTGTTGGCAACTGAAAGACAATATAATACGTTTTCTCAGAGAAACTGTCTCGAAGTTCAAAGTACTAACGGTAACTTTAACTTTTAAGCTAACTAGCTACTTTAGCTAGCTAACACTTTTCTCTTAGCGTTAAACTAACAAATTACGCAAATGGATGTAGAAAAGTCAACAGACCTGCTCAGTAAAAAGCAGTTGTGTAATTTTTTTGTTAACGCTACCTTAAAACACGTATTAGCTAGTGACTAAAGTCTCTCGGGTGGCAGTTTATCAGGTACACCTGGCTAAAACTATTGCAGACTTTAACACAACAGTCCTGCAGTAAATCCTCCCTTTATGACATTTAATGTTCAGTATGTGTTGTAAGTGTTTTAGAGATGTGTTGATTCAACTGTGATCATTTTGGAGGCTGCTGTTGAATTGTATTGAATAAGTTTTTCCATTATTTTGTCCACCCCCATTTACATCAACGATGGTTGCCCAAATAACAGAAACACCTGTCAGTATAATGCAGCACAGTCCTGTTTAGCCAGAGTGCATGTTTAAAAAATTTATTGGTGGGTCAGTCAGTACAAACTTTGTTAAAACTCCCAGAACCTTATTTTAAATTCTGGTGGAGATCCCAAAGTTTTCACCAAACACATGAAGTTGGAGGACTGGAAGAGCGCAAGCCTTTAAATTATGGAGTCTAGGTCTTGAATATCTCACTTGTCATATAGCTTCAATTTAGAACTGGAAAACTGTAATACAGAATATATATGACACTGTCAGATACAGTTGGAATAAGAGGATTTTAATAATCCTAAAATGACTTGAGGGATAAAAAGTGGAGAAAAAAAAAAGTTTGGGACATTAAGGAGACTGGTTTTCAGTAGCACTCACATGAACAGTACAGTGCAAGAGTTTTAGGCACTTTATATGTTTAGATTCTTATCCGTCATGCAGTACTGTCAGGTAGGTGCCTGACTGGCCCAAACATAAAGCCATAGTCATGAAGAGAGAGACAGCCTAAATCTGTTTACTGCACTTGGTATGAAGTTAAATGATGATGATGCCTAAAAGCTTTTCAGTTCTGTATATGTACAGCTAAACGATAAAGCGAACTAAAAAATGAATACAAAGCCATTATATAGAGGCAAGTTGGTGTGAAAGCAGATCGATGGATAATTAAACAAAAACAATGTGTAGGGTTGTGGTATGGTTGTGTGGTTGTTACCTTACTGTGACCTTTTCTGTTCACTGGTGATGAAAATTCAGTCCAAAAACAAGATTTGAAATATGTTCATTTGAATGGGACTTGGACATAGTGTCATGGGGTGTTTTTTTTGTTGTTGCTCAAATTAAGAAAACAAAACACAACATTATCATTTACCTTTTACAGGTATGTAGCCCTGTAGATAGTTCTGCCCCTGTCTCAGTACAACACAAGTGAGAAATTACTTTGAATATCCACTGTGAGAAGTTTTCTTTGGATATGCTTAATCCTATTAAAAACTATTGATAACACGTTCTGTTGGTTATCCAGTGTGACACTGTTTGAAGAGACATAAACATGAACAGTCATGCTGTAGTGGACATATTGTATGTTTGCATTCTTGTGATGGGAGACCACATCCAGTGGACTCAGCGTATCATTTTCAGTGAGTCTGACCTGTTTTAGGAAGTGTGCTCATGTAGAGCACATATGGAAAAGCCATTTCCTTTTACCTGGTGAGGGGAAGTTGCTGGGCCTATATTAACTATGGGATGAGGGGGAAGGTCTGCTGTAATGGAAATAACACACCAAATCAGCAGCGGATGTAGCTGTCTTCTCTACCGTGCCTCTGTACAGTTAAACCTGTTGGCTGCGAGCTAGTAGGAAAAATCCAGTACACTGTAGCTGCTCATCTGCCTACAGTGACATTCATACAAAGTTCTGTATGTTGATACCAGACTGCCAAGTAGTCAGATGGATCATCCTGTAACTTTAAAGCTGCTGGTTAAAGTCCATGAGTAAGACTTTGAATAGCCTCCACTGCTCATTCATTGCCAGTCACTCTGGACAGGCAGCCAACACTGATTCAAGAACTGGGTTGTTGTATGTCGTTGAGTCCAGTCTTGGCAGCGAGACAAAGCTTTGAAACTCAGTAGTTCTCATTTTCATTTTCCAGACAGCTTGGACTGAGATAGTCCTCCTTTGTGACTTTTCAGTTTCGATCCAAACAAGTCGTGAACTTTAGACTGGGTGGTGAAGCTGAATTAGTACAGAATTACAGGCACATAATTATGTGACTGTGTTTAGCTTTTTTGTGTGATAACACATTGTGATATGTTCAGTACTTGACTGGCTTATCATTAGCAATGGTCAAGGGCAGGCTGGCTTAATGCCCAGCATGTAGTCAAAGGCGTGGAAACGCCCAGATCACAAGTCTATTGTTGCATGGTTTAATTATAAATGATTTTGATATCAAAGAAACAAACAATTGCTTATCAGTGTAGATGTGGCAACAAGTACAATCTCAAACCAGAAAATAACAGACTATAAATGATAGCAAAACATAGCATAATGGAGGATAAAATGATAAATAGTGGACTTTTGAAGGCTAATCCTGATGTTTGTTCATGTTATGTCACTTTTTTGATGCAGTGAAGAAACATCTTTCCCTTTTTAAATGTGGAGTTGTGACAAAGATATTTATTCATTTGACAGTTTAACATTAAATCTATTGTCAAAGATGATAGTAACAGTAAAAGATAACAGAGAGGAAAAGAACACTTTCAACAGTAAACTTCACTTAAGAAAAAAATGATCAAAATGTTCCTTTTAGATGATTGCTAACATGTACATACTGATAAAATAAGCCAATAATGTCACTAATTACATTAAATTAATACATTTACATTAGATTATATTTTATGTCATATAATAACATTTAGATTGACAGTCTATGAAAACAAAATACCTTAAGAGACAAAGAGGAAACTGATGGTGCTCAGTGGTTGTGTGCATGTGTGTTTTTCCTCCATTTTTTGGCCACATGTATTTCAGTGTAGCTCTGGTCCAAACCACTGACCTGGATCTTAGAGAGGAAGTGAACTGGTGCTTTAATGAGTGCAGCAGATGTGAACATACCATGATCACTGGGGACGTTGTGTGTTTTCAGTTGCATCAAGAAGCCTGTACTGAGTAACACAGTGACATACAGTACAATACAACCATAAACATGTATAGCAAGTAAATGATAAAAAAAAAATAGATTTATATAGATAGATAGATGGTTATATCTAAACATTTTTTACATATTGATGGCAACTTTTTTATACAGTGAAACGGACTATTCAACTATAGTCTTAAATCCAATCAGACCAAAAGGTCTAAACCAAACAGATAAGGCTTATTTGCTCTGTGGTTATTTACTGGCCTACATATCTAGATAGTGATTCTTTGTTCCTCTGCATTGGAGGGAGGCTTTTTGTTTTTCCCTCTAGTGGCGAGGTTAGTGGTGGTTGTTGTTGGTCACTCAGCTGGTCTGTCCATTCAGTTCACATTCTGGACCTCATTGTCCTTATTTCCCTCTTGTTTATTATTTGTTGTCTACCGCTGTCTGGCAGTGGTGGAATGTAATGAAGTAGTCCTGCAGTGAAGTATTTGTAGTTTATATAACTTTACTACATGATCCAATATTTCATATTTGGGGTCTTCATCAGAGGCGAATGTTACTGTGGTTTAGCAGAACATTCAGCACCACCCAGTGTGTACAGAGAAATTTACAAGCACACAGAAAAAAACTGAAAAGACTTTTGAAGTGAACCATGATTTTATTTTCAGCTTCATGCATTTAAAACACAAAAAACATTGTGGAGATGTTAGGCAGAAACAGAAAGGTTTTCACATCTAAACTTGTGTCATGAAATGTCATGAAGGGTCGGATCTTACAGTTTTCTTATGATGACTGGAAATTGTATTAACAGACTATCAGTGTGATCACAAATCAGAAATCAGAATCAGATCAGAAATTTTGAACTTAGAAATCATGTATCGGGCATTTATGTGCTATGGGCATGGTCTGTCAGACAAAACAAATGTCATTCAGCAACTTACACAATCTATGCTGCTGTTAAACTTTAACATATTATCACAGCATCCACAGTGAGTCACTTCTGGTGATCAATCCAAAGCCAATCCAAAATGATACCACGTGATAAAAGAGACAGGCAGAAGTCATTGTAATCTCAAAAATTAAAGAGTAGCAGTCAACTCAAAGTAAAGGTGCAGAGTGGATTAATATAGCACTGACACCATAACCCACACAAATAAGACAGCCTCCTTAAAGGGAAAAAGTTACTTCCAGACCAGGCGTTATTTTAGATATAATGCTTTGAAGCAAACCAGAAGGAAAGTACATATTTTATATTCACATTTACATATTCCTGTATTTAACAGCCCACTGTATTGCTTCCACATTTGCTATGAAATTGAAAATATTATCCCTTTTTAAAAAGTTATTTTTTCTTAAATGGCAAAATGGTTTCAATTATTCATAAAAAATATGCTGATGTCAAAATCTTCACATTAGTCATGATTGCTGGATGATAGATAAACACAAGAAAAGACTGATACTACCAACTTTTACTCAAGCTGAAAATAAAAAAAATTCTGAGCCCCCCCTCAAAAAAAAAGACATAAGATGATACACCAAACGTATTGCACTACACAATATCAAGAATTCTACTTTATGAAAAATAAAGGAAGAAAAGCTGCAGCAGGAAGGAATGAAAAGAGGGAAGATAAGAGTGGTTAGGAACTGCTCAGTGGTTTTCACTAAGACCAAAAAAAAAAAAAAATCAAGTACCTCTTGTAGCTTAGTTATTGTATTTTTATTAAAAGTATTTAAAAGTGGTATAGAATAGTAGGGGGCAGCAGCAGTTACCGCATTCCTGCTGTACTCATCCAACATTCTCAATACTTTCTGAAGATAAGGATCCGGCTAAAGTGCATCATATCTGAAACTACTGCTTTCAATCATTTCACTGTTTCGGACTTCCTCTGCAGGAGTCAGCCCAGTCAACCTCTGTGAGAACCTCACTTGCAGCAGTATCTGACACCCAGGGTCTTCTGCTTGCCTTACTGGTAGACCTGCACATGCCCATGCAAGGAGGTGGTGTTCCCCCCACAGTCCACATACTGGTACATCTCCTGGGAGACCTGCTCCGTGTGTCCGAAGTACGATGTCGTCACCGTCACCCTGAAAAGGTAACCACAGAGTCAACTACCGTACATCCAGCAACCAGGTGAGACATGCTGCTGTCATTTTTTTAAAATCCTGAGATGGTGTGGGAATAACAGATGAGAAATCCCCGTCTTCTTAACAGATTAAGATTTGAGCTTCAGTAGATTAGAAATATTTCTCTGAGGCAGAAGTTTTTGTTTGACTAGATTTCAAGATCCACAGGAAATGGATAAATCCCTAAAATAGTTTTTTTTTTTTTTTCACATTAATTCATAATCTTGAAAAGTCAGCAGATTTTCTAACTGTTTAACTCCTGGTTTATGTATGCGAGCTGAGTAAAAGCCAGTCTGAACTTTGCTAATCACAAGATTGCATTTTCATTGACCACAATGCTTTGCAGTGGCTTGCTCTAAGTAGTACTGCAATCATTAGTCTGCCATCAGAAAACTAATTAACAATTTTAATAACCTAATACTTATTTACAAAATGTCTGAATTAGATTCATGTTATGGTTATGTTGTTTTATTTCTGTTCTCCTGGTTTGCCTCACCTCCCAAAATATCTAGACACAAACTGCACTGATTTCTGTCATCACTCTTTGTTGCTTGTTTTGGTTGATAAACACATTGTTTTCCCTTGTTAATTGCATCAAAATGAAGCCTGCAACAAACATCCGCAAGTTCCATTTAGGTCATTACATTACAACTTTTCTTTCCCATTTCCACTGGAATTTAGTCTCATGATACTTGGCTCGAACGCTTTTACTAGGCTTTTACCACAGAGGATTAAGTCAAATAATAAAGCTCATTTCTGCCTTTGAGAAATAGTTGCTAAATTTACAGTCTGCTTTAATGTCAGCGTTGACGTGTAAATTAGCAAGGCTCCCAAAGGCCCAAGTATCTTCTGTTGGTGTAAGCAGTACTCCACAGCAGAAGGCTGGGTCTGTTCTGGGCAGCTCTTCAACATGTGTGGGTGAAACTATGCGAGTGTGGAGGAGAGAGATGTTGACATAAAACAGGCTGATGCCCAGTCATGCATCTCATGACAAACCAAAGGATAAAAATCACAATACCTAATGTTTAAATTACTGTTCATCCAGCCATACTTACTGCATCATCACCACTATGTTGTGGACTTTAATGGTTGGCAAAGTACAGTAGTCACTGTAAAAAAAAAAAGTATAAAATTAAAAAATGATCATGATCCACGTATCAATAGTGCACTTTTAGGATTTTAAGTAGGTTACTTACAACATATAACTCATCTCATCAGCAATGGTGGTGGGAACTGTGTAGTCAATCTGCAACAGCACAGTTTATATCAAAATATTAAACATTTCTGCTATTTAAAACAAAACCCAATGTGGTTTGGTGTGTTTTTTTTTTCTCCTAAATTCTGTTTAAACAATGTGAGAGGTGGTGCCAAGATTTGTAATGTGACAAATGAGGCTTTAACGGTGCTTAGAACATCTGTTTGAAGACTGGATTTTGCAGAAATATAATTGATATTAATTTTAAGCAGTCACAAGACAAGTCTATGAGTCAGATGGGGTTGCTTGGTATTGTGACTATGGGTGTAACAATGAGCTGTTGTGTGGGCTGTGAAAGTGTCATAACTAAAGTGGATCAGAAGTTCAGTGCATTCACTTGAATTGATTTATTTTACCTCCTCTCTGTACAGTGAAGCATTTCAAACCTACCTGCTCTTCATCCAGTGGTATGATCACTGTGCTGTTGTTAAACTTGGCCTTGCCTATCACCGTCTTGGAGAACTGTACTTGCGCTGTGATGTTGGTCACAGATATGGCGTAGTAGTTATTATTGGTGATGTTCAGAGTGTTCTGGATAGAAGAGGAGAAAAGGTGTGAGATTGTGGCAATAGGGACCTTGTGGTAATTCCTAATTTAGAAAGGTGTAGCATTTTAAAGCTGCAGTAACAGATTTTTTTTTTTGCTGCTTGGAGGCATCAGAAAAAAGCTGTAAACACACAACACTGACATATAATCACATTTTAAGTTAATAATGGCAAACTTGTTCGCAAACAGTGGCCTATATACACATCCAGCAGACACGGAGTAACATTAGCATTCATTTGCAGTCGTGTTTCTGTCCACCTAGTGAATTTATGTCCAATATTCACACTCTTTTAGCTCTGCTTTTGGCCCTTTAGCTGCTAAATGCTCCGCAATATACACATTCAAATTCTCCTACAGCGTATGATTGCGGTTCTATTTGAAGTTAAGGGAGTACATAACTACACAATCTTACTGTGATGTTGAGATAGACAATTCGTTTTTCCTGGTCATAGGAGACGTAGGCAGACTTCACCCCCACATACGACACATCAATGGAGCGAGGGAATAGGAAGAACACAGCCAGGCCAGACAGCAGCAGGCAAAGAGCCACTGATATTGTGACATACAGTTTTCTGCAGGAGAGGGAGAAGAGAAGTGAGACCCTGAAACCAGCTGATATCTTATCACGCCCCTGTGTGTTCATTTAGTTTCATCATACAGACAGCTTACACAGTTAATCTGTAAAAAGAGCACTGAGTGCAGACTTACGTCCTGCTTGGCCTGAGCCTTTGGTCGCTGTATGGAATCAGAGCCACAAGCTGATTCTCTTGACCTGTTGAATGATTAAAAAAAAAAAAAGGATAGGAAAGCTGTCATTTGACTGATTGATTGAGTTAGGAGCAGGTTGTAAATTTCCCACTATCTAACACTGCTGTAGAACTAGACTCTTATCGCCATATTGTGAAATTATACGTTTTTTAAAACTTTTTTTTTTTTAATCAATGATTGGTTTATTCTCAATGTAGAGATAATTGAAGATGGAAATGGATCTTTAATTGTGTTATCTTTAAGTTAAGAAAAAGTCAATATGGCGTACTGCAAATATTTATTTTCTCTTGAATCTTTCTCTTTCTTATCATTATTCTTATGGACCTGCTGTATCTGTGATCTGTAGCATTTTTGTAGACATTACGGCCTTAAGATCTGGTTGAATCTTGTGTGAAACTTGTATTCCTTACATTTGGACAGTTGTAGTATTATATTTGCAAATGTGTGCACTAGCATTCTGGATCTGATTTATATAAAGTTTAGGTTTCATGTGAGCATTTTGGAGTTGGACATAAAAACACAGAAGCCTTCACTCATCTTCACTGCAAAATGCATGATTTTTAAATGTAAAACTGTAGCTCACTTCAGGTGAAACAGTTTGCTGTGTGGTTGCATTTATATCACAGTGAGTCCTGGTAGAGGCCTCTGCACTTGTACAGATTAAACCTCAACTTGCCTGAAACAAAACTGTCTCCCAAACAGCAGAGAGCTGATCACTGTCCATAAAAAGGACTTAAAAACATTTCTGAGTCAGAATGAATCAACATTACTTGATGCTTTAATTTGGAGCCACCAACATGTGCAGATGGTTCCTGTAGATTTAATTTCCTTTTTCATTGCTGTCATTGTCAATCAAATGTGATAAATCCATTGGTTGTTGCTTATTTAGTCTTGAATATTTAATGTTAAAGAGAAACTAAGTTTTTAGAGTGTTTAAAATGCACAATTCTGTATACAGAGTTAAAATTTATACTATTAATGGTCACTGAGTAATAATGACTAATATCTAGAAAGTTGTACCTCGTGGGATTCTCCCAGTGCCCTGACATGTGGGGCATGTCACACTGTCCCGTCCGGTGAATTCCACATAGGGGAACTGAGATACATCTCCACTTTTTCCATCCTCTTCTGTCTGACCGTCACTGTAGTCGCTAGCAGTCGTCAGTGCGTCCTGACTCTCGTCTTTGTGCTTGGCCAAGTGTGACTGGGACTTGCCCATAGCTGCAGCTGTCTGTACACAACACAAAAGATGGCATGAATAGAGAGGAGGAGAGAGGAACTGCTGTATAGATGCAGCAGGACGTGCTGACTAACCACATGCCACACAGCCATTTGAATGTGAAATTGGACCTGGACAGACTCCAGGAAACATTTCCCCAGAGGAAGAGACTTCAACTGGTGCACTGCCCATGATAATAATAAAAAAAAAAAACCCTTGTAATATATCAGAAATAATTCTGTTAGGGCTTGGAAGTGTGCTGCTGAATAGATGTTTTCTCTAATTTTCAAAGTGGTATACAGTACATTAGGCTTACAGCTTGTGTAGTATCCTTCAAAAGAGATCGTAGCAGTGAGACTTTTTATACTTTTTATAGGGGACATTTTGGTCATTAAGGCCTTAACTGATAGACATTGATTGTCTTTAAATGGAGAATGAGCCACTAGTCATTGGTGAATACTGGAAATTGATGGTCACATCTCTGGCATCAGTATAATATTCATAAATATAAGTATTTAGTAAGTACAAGTTTTAAGAGACTCTTCATGTATATACACATCTGTGCAAGGACAATAATACTGGGTAAAAATAGATTAAGGAAATATATATACTGGTCAAAAATCATTTGGCTATTTAGACTTGTAGCAGCTGTCTAACATTTTTAACCATTTTAAAAGTGAGTTTTTGTGACCTTCTGTTGTCTGTGGTAGTGGTAAGCCTTTATTTATATAGTACTTTTCAAGACTAGCGGATGGTAGGAAGCTATAGTGGATGGTCCACTGAGTACTGTTGTTTTGTCTATCATATGGTGTTCATAATATTTCCTTGATGGTGCAAACTGACTAAGCACATTTACATAAGTACTGTATGGAAATACTTGTTCTTTACATAGGTTTTTCCACATGTTACTTTATACTTCACTGCATATCAGAAGGAAATAATGAACAACTGTTTACATGTTAATGTACCAATTATGATACAATACTGACATGGGTCACTCTGCACTATGAGTACTTTTATTTTTGATTCTGAAAATGCATTTTTCAAATAATACTTCTGTTTTCTTCTGTAAATAGATGCATGACTTTTACTCGAATATTTCCTCATTGTATGTCTTCCATCGTTCATCATTAATATTTCTAAAACATAATATTACTGTGCGTCTAGATTATATATATTCACCAATAATTGTAGGAAAAGTGGGTTTCCTCTAAATTAAAAGCTTGTGAGAACAGTCAAGTCATCCACTGCACCTTTGGCAGTTTGTACCTGACAACATTTCTTTTTGAAATATAGTACATTTTTATCTACTAGTTACCTCTTAGATTAAGACTTCAAAAAGATATGATTTTACATGAAAATATGAGCTCCTAAAACACGATGCACTGTTTAAGATTAGGTAAGTGGTTTCCAACTACGTTGACATTTTAGTTACAACAAACACAGTGTCTAGTTGCGGCCTATCACAGATGCCCTAGAGTTGTTGACACCTCCACTTCTCATATGGTTTCATTTAAGTAACTTTAATAATGCAAAAACACTTTTACTTTTCATAGTTGAAATATATTTTACCGAGGATGCTTCAGTACTTTTACTTGAGTATGATTAAGAAAGCAGGACCTGTAGTTGTAACGGAGTAATGTGGTAATGGCACCTCTTGATGTGAGCACTTCTTCTACCGGTGGCGTTAGGCCAAAGCACCCGTTGGTAATAATTGCTAACGTAACACAATGCAAGGTCTACACAACAGTGTGGAGATGATAATAATAGCCCGAGTCAAACCGCAGGGCTGTGGCTCAGAAATGCCGTCCAGGATGTCTGTTGTGTCTACATCGCAAACACAGGCCGATCCGCCATGCTGCCGAGCCGCTTAGCCGCTGAGGCTCAGCCAAGAAGAACACAGCGTACCGGCCGTGAGTAAACGATAATATCGCCTCCATTCTCGCCACCGAAACCGATATTTGGCTTTAAATTTTTCTACACAACACAATCGTAAAAACGGGTTTGCATGTCGTCGCGTAAATTAGACATTTAATTAATGAAATGGCACGAATCAACGGTCGCTCAGCAGACCAGCCCGCGCCGCGTAAATACGTACCCAGAACCGTTAAATACTCCACTGACAGTGAGCTGTGTGTTAAAATAATTAAGCAATTCGTGGTGTTGGCTAACGTCTTACCTGTTTTGTGTTTTATTCTGACTTGTTTGCCATTCGTCGTGTCGTCGCTGTTTTGTTATGGTTCACACACCGATGAGAAATGAAGCCGACGGGACCGCCCCCTCCTCTCCCTATTGGTCAGACTCATGTTGGGTGTTGTAACCGTTTCCACCTTGCAGACGGTACCAAAACAACGCAGATGGTATATTAACATATAACATAGATGGCTATATTAACAGCAACACAGGTTCCACAAGACAAACTGATGTACAAAAAACCCCCCCCACAAAGTATGACAAGATTACTATGCACCTAATAACCTGGTAAAACGTGCAATAGCAATACCAGTGGCGAGAGTGGAGTTAGTCAGTGTTCTTTCAGAGTACTGCAGTAAGAAGTACCCGGATTTGCTGAAGTAAAAAATACTCTATTACAAGTCAAAATTATATATTGAAATTTAACTACGACAGAAGGTATGTTTTAATAAATATACTTCAAATGTCAAGTGCAAAAATATTTGTTTGGCAGAATTACCTCTTATGTGGTGGATTGCAGTATTTGCCTCTGAAATGCTGTGATGTATGTAGAGTAAAATAAAATGGGAATAAGCTATTTCCACCTCTGAGAAATACAACTAACTCCATGATTTACAAAATAACAGTCTATTAATGTCAAACCTAATGAATACCTCAAATTATAAATACTTTAAAATTACAATAAAAAGTTATAGTGATCCCACTGAAGGCACAAAGGACCACAAAATGCAATCACTTTAAATGCACTGTTATGTATTACAAATCCGCTGTAAAGAATATTGTATAATCATGTACCCACAGGAAAATCAATCAACCTTAACTCGGATCGGGGAAAAAAAATAAATAAAGAAAATCAGTGCCTGCTATCACACACAGGTGGTACATGTGTTTTTGTTAGTTGACTGAACAGTTGACTGAAGTGTCCTGATGCTAAAACTGAGAAACAGTGCCATTTAATACAAACATACGTCAAGTCTACAGGATCATTACACTGTAGGAATATTTTTACATTATTTTTTATCAGCACCAGTGGAAAAATCCATCATTAGTAACATAAAACAAACCAAAACAGAATATACAGCTTTACTATTGAGATAAGAATATTTACTTTTGTAATGAAATAAAAAGTAGATACTGATCTAAACTCAATTAGTTAACAGAATTGATGTAGAATATTTGATTTTAAAGTGACACGGATCAGAATAGCATCATAAACAAGACAAAACGTTTTGAACAGTAGGCCAAGATTTTCAGTATGCTGTTAAAACAGCATGGAGTACAAAATTAGACTCATCCTCAGACCTAAAGACAGTGTTTTGAAACACTGTCTCACATACTGTGATAAAGACAACATCCACAATGTAGGTTAGCTGCAGTTCCTGGAAAATCATGTCAGCTGACACAAACATGTCAGACGTTCTTGGTGTGAGCAAGTTTGTACCACAAGCACTACCATTGTCACTGCTAATCAGCAAGAATTTGCCATATTATTCCATTAAGCTTCTTAAAACAGATGTTTCTTAGTGGAAACTGCATCTCAGAAGATTGAAAAACAGATAGCAAGAGGTTTATATATAGTTAACATTTCAGTTTTACAGTTTTTTGTTTTGGCTGTGCTATTAATTGTCATCTCAACTAAAAGTTGAACTATTCACACTTGCTGAGAAACTAAGAGAGTAGTCCAAAAATGAAAAGCCCATCTTTTCTTACTGTAGTCATTTCGGATTAACCAAAGTAAAACTATTGAAGCCTCAAATTTAAATTTAAATTTAACTCCAGTAGACCCCAAAGAACTGACTGTAAAACATCAGATATCCAGAATGCAGTATTTCTATAACCATTCATAGAACAACTGGGATGTGCTCTCCATCAGCCAGATGATGGCAGTGTGCTGCCATGTGTGACTGTGTCACTCAGCAGCAGCGAGCTAGTGAAGCCTCATGACAACCATAACATGGTCATTAATGCCCATGAGCAAACATCAAATTAAAGTTACAATAGATTTATTTTAATCTGTTTAATCTCTCCATGACTTCAGAGCAACCACTCTGAATAATACATAACCTGGCAAGCTGAGGGAAAAGTACACTTAGAAAACAGCTAATGAAATAATAACCTGTAATGCCTCAAAACTGGCCTAGGTCAAGATAATATTTGCAAATAACAATTATGTTTGTTTTGCGTACCAGATGGATCCGGTTTAATGATTTATCACAATAGACTTTCTGTTTTTTATACACTTTCCTGTGATTGTTAAACTCGGTGACACTTATGAGTCATTGTACAGTGCTGTGTGCAGCAACCATCTGCGAGTCACATTAAAAATACGCTAAAAATAAATAGCAAATGCTATTTGACACAGGTTGGCTTTAACAATGACCTACTTGGCATCGTCAACAAGTTTGTCATAATGCCAGTGCTAAATGGCAGAAACCAGCATCAACAGCGGCCCTGAATATCCCCTTAAATACGGATTTGCTACTTTAGAGAAAATATGTTTTTAATTATGTGCATTCACAGTATTTTCTAAATGTTTTATGAACCATCTAGACTGTTCATTTCCTTTAGTTTCACTTTAATTAAACAATGACTGTACAGCAAGTAACAACATGAACTCGGTGTTGAACCTGGAGGACCGGAACATGCATCCTCAAAAAAGATTTAGAGTGCAGATCTGCTGCTGCTGATATGAGAGTTTGGGATCAGAGTACTTCCTCTTTTATTATTTACTGGGTTGGAAATTACCACCAGCTATGTCCACGTAGGTGGTGTTGGATTTGTCAACTCACTAGGCACTTTGGAAAGAAAACAGCCATTGTTCAGAGCTCCAGTTGCATCTAAAGGAGGCCACTGCAGTTTGTTTTCTCTGATCTGAACCATTGCAGACAAGTTTTCTTGTTTTCTGTAATCTTTCCTCCCACCTGGTTAGAGATTTTTAAATTTTGATTCCCATCTCCCTGATGTTTGAACTGAACATAATAGACTGAACTCCTACCTTCTCTGCTGTTCATTCCAGTTAAGAACTCTTTAAAAAATAGCATAAATTGAGGCTCAGCACACACTGTGCTTTTCTGTCATTTCATTTTGTTATACTCTGCTTTCCAAGCATGGGTAACTCGTGGCTTTCAGATGTCAAGATTTCTCACCTTAAAGCCATAAAACCATGTGTGTTGTGGTTGTTTCTTGCACTTAGTTTGCATCACATTCTGGCTTCTATCAAACCACACTGCAGTTTGCATGAGAGAAGACTGACATCTGTAGTTTCAGGCGTCATGGTGAGGAGATTTGCTACCGCCACCTGCCAAACAATCTAACCTCAGAAGAAAATGTGCTGTCAAGATGCTTGTTATAAACTTAATGCTTGCCAATGGGCAAATTGGTTAGCTTCCTGCCCTGCTTATTCATGCAGTAGTCTGTCTTCCCTAATCTCAGAATCCTCCCCTGTCACTGCAACTCACAGTATGAGTACAGTTGTGTAGTACACAGAGAGGACTAATTCATTTTGAATCACCGTGAGGCATATGAAAACACCTCAGCACCAGTCTGAGGAGGCAGGTTAAAAGTGGCAGTGCTGGTCCAGTCCGCTGTGTGAGGAAGGTGCCTGTGTGTCCCCGATAAGAGGGAGTGAGTGGTGAGGACACGTCAGCCTACTTCAGGTGTCAGCACTTCAAACCAGAAGCACAGCTTCACAGTGAATGTGTAAAACTCCTTATTGCAGAGGTGAAGTGGAGGATATTCTGAGTTTGTAATATTTCATGTCTGGTGTCAATTTGTTCTTAACCTAAAAAAAAAAAAAAAAACAGAATTCTGGGAGCGGTGACTCACTGGATTTCTGCTCTTGAAAGCTTTCTGTCCCTGTTTTCTTCCTATAGTGGCACAGCAAGAGCTCACACTTCATATTTAATTGACAAGCCCTCTCATGGTATATTAAAGCAATTTACAGCACTGCAGTGTAAGTCCACTTGAGTTATTAGACACAATCAAACATATGATAGCATATAACACAAAGCCTGTTGGATGAAATGAGAAATTACTGAGCATCATTAAGAGGTGTGCACACATCAGTCCCGGCCGTAAGCTGTGAGCTGAGCAGTGACAGTGCAAATAAACAGCAATGACTGAGCTCTTAAATACAGCATTAACAACCTCTTAAGTGAATTGCACTTGGCCTTAATTGCTTTGTAAAACTGTTAAAATGCAAGAGGGATGAAACTAGTTCACATGATTCACATAATAATCTCATATAAAAATAAATAGATAAGAATCAGTGTGCCGGGGCTGGTGACGGCATAAACGTCATTCATCATGGGTATTTATCTGGGTTCAAATATACAGCCGGAGTGGAATCATCCCGGTAATTATCATAAAGTGGGATTATACAACACAAAATCTTGCCATTTTGAAATGGATTCTCAGTAGGGTTACTACACACCAATAGAGAAAGCATAAAAAATAAAAAACTGCAGCATGGAAAAATGGCATATAGAAGAAAATTTAACAGGGATTCATCATGGTCTGACCTGACCCAGCAGTAGAAGGATTTATTTTGCACAAGACTCACCAAATATTTTACACAGCAGAAAGAAGAAGCAAGCGTTGTGAAAAGGATAAAAAAAAAAAAGAAAAATCACATCCACGTGACTGCACATAATGCCCGATTGTGCTAAATATGTAGAACAAATTGAATCCCCAATTTGCAAAATGAGTGATGTTTTCAGTTGAGTGAATGAAACTAGCAGAAAAAAAAAAAAATTGTGATAAGAATGTTTCCAATTCTTGAGTTTTGAGGAATTTGATGTCTTGTTTCCCCATTACATTTTGTGTTGACATCAAATACAACCACATTTTCTTGCTTGTACATGTGAAGAAATGGTTTCAGAGCTAATCTGAAAACTTGAAAGTCCGTTTTTTTGTTTTGTTATTGGACTACATTTGAACAGATGTTTGCTGCTTTCAATTTGTTCTCCTGTTGTTGCTTTCAGTCTTGTTGTTTTGTGATTATGTATCATCAGATGGAATAACTGCCTGTCTTTAGACATAAAAAAAAAAACAGTAATTTGTAGTAGTCTAGAGAAAAAGAGCTTGAACAACAATT